ATTATATATATATATATGTGTAAAATACTTTTATGCATTTCATATGTATGTGTAAATGTTATTTCGTATAAACAATGTATGTTTCTTTTTTCTTTTATATATTGACCATTGAATTATTTATTCACATTTTTTTGTTGTTGTTTTAATAGTCAATTTTCAATAGAAACCAAAATTACAGTCTCGAATTTATTATTTGAAACGAACGAGAAAAGTTGTATTACATTAAACCAAGTGGTTCGATTTAATGGTCGAATATTATTTCAAGAGAAAAAATAGTTGTCTAACTTGTAAACGAAAAACATCGATGAAGGAGATGGAAGAAGGAGAGAAGTATCATGGAAAAACATTTGGCAAGTTCTTCTTCTTCCTATTTGCATCTTTATTTGTGTTTCCTGCCTATTTTGATAATACTAAATCGTATTGGTAACGATCAACGATAATCGTTTCTTCAAATTTATTGTACGATCTGATATAAATAAAAAGAAAATTTTCACGCCACACTAGAGAGAAAAGATATAAACACGATACCTAAAAAATACACACTTACGAAATTTTATTTGTTTAATAAAAAATAATAATAATAATAATTTTAACAAATTATTACATTTTCTCGTAAAACAATCAACGAAATAATGCGAATATTTTATTTCTCTTTTGTAAATATAATTTTATGATTTTATTTTACATTACTCTTGTATTTCTTTTTTTGTTTGTTTGTTTGTTAAATAATAACGTAATACAACGCGACAATTTTCTTGAATTAAAAGATTTGTAACACGTGTTACGTTGCAAATAAACAAATTAAATTCATTCTATTTTCGATCGAATCGAATTATTTTTAGTTTAGGATATACACTAGCAAAGTATTCTTATCGTTCTCTCTGGGTTGCTAGCAAAATGAAAATAATGGCACACAGAGGTTCGATTGCAAGTCATAAATTTTATCTGATAATAATGAGACGCGTGGTGGTACGGCAGTTACTACGACCCTTTTCCAAACGATCAATCATATTTTTGCGATAGCAAACGCACACGATTTCAACATTTTATATAAAGTTAAGAAGTCATCTATAATTACGTTAATAAAACGCGTCAAGAAAAAAATTGAGATTTAAATAAAGAAGATTAATAAAAAATAAGGGTAATTAAAAAAAAAAAAAATATACACGAAGAAAATAAATTTCTATCGTTTGACCAATGTATATATATATATTATTATTATTATTATTATAGAAAAATAAAAAGAAACTAAACTATAATCGTTCGATAAATGAATAATCAATTTTCTACGTGCCCCTGTGTGAAATAAATGGCGAGTGTGTTTCATCTAAAATTTTATTTCTTTGAAAATGACCATCCAACAGGAGGAGGAGGGATAGGGCCGTTTCGTTCTCAACGTTATGGGTGTAAAAACAATAAGCGTTCTAGATAACTCTGGTAATGGGACAACAAAAAAATTGATCGTCCTTCGAATAACAATGGACAATGTTTCTCTATACGATTATGCTGCTTTATTAATGAGTTCAGAAATGGAAATACACACGCGTGTAAAACCGATAAAAACAACTCACCTAGTTAGTGTTTCGAAGTGTTTCTTTTTTTTTTTTTTTTTTTTTTTTTTTTGTTTTTTCTTAATAAAAACACACGTATCGTTTTATTATTTATTTCGTCTTATCTTCGCAAATATGTTTATTTAAAATTTTATTAAATTATACGTTTATTTATATTCGTGAGAGAGATAAATGTGACCCGACCTTTTAAAAATATCATCGAAACTTATCGCTCGGTTTACCTTTAATCCCGGATTTAAATTATTATTAAACGTTATATCTCTTTTGAAACAATGAAATATAAAGTAAAATACAATAATTTAATAACAATGACAATGAAATTAGCATAATGTACAAGTAAATTCATAGAATATCTGAACAAAACAGCTAATAAGACCACGATGTCCCTTTTGTGAGGCTTCTCAACAGCTTTGAAAGCTTCTAAACCGAGTTTAACGCAGGTAAATCGAGCGAAGAGAAAACTTATGGTCACGAAATAATACTATTTCTATATTTGATATATATTAAATCTATGAAGAATATATCGTGCGCGTTTTTATTGGAATAAATTACAATAATTTTGGTTTCTAAATTATATTTCTTTTTACTTCCTTTTTTTTTTTTTTTTGTTTTTTTTTTTTTAATTAAAGATATATTATATAAAAACAGTTACACATTGATATATATTATAAATAATTGTTAGATTCGTATTTTTTTTTCATGTATTACATCGATAAGTAATTTTAATGAATATATTTTGGATATGAAACATAATTCCTATATATGATTGTATCACAGTAGACATAGGAAACAATCTGTAAATAATTCACAAATAGTTTTTTTCTTCTCTCAGTACGCATTAAAAATGTATTACTACAGTTATATATCTAATATATATATAATATATATAAATCTTTACATTTTACAATTACATGAATTACACGTAATATATATTATTATTAATATTATTGTATACATCGAGTCTTGTATAGATTTTATCTAAAGAGAAAAAATATTTGTAATAAATGATCATAAACTTTTGGATACATATTTTTCATCCAATTGAACAACGCAATGGGATAACGCTTGACCAACTTTTATGGTTTGTCCAATATTAAGACAAAATTGAAAGTCTTTTGGTGCTTCGAATAAAAGTACGATTGTAGATCCCATTCTGAATTCGCCAAATAATTGTCCCTTGGATATATGAGTACAATCTAAACTAGCATCTTTCCAACGTTTCATTTTCGGCCAAATAAGTTTGTTTGTAGTTAATTCCTTATCGCAATAGATTTTAATAGAACCAACATTGGTCGCTCCTACTGCTGCATAAGCCATAAAACCTTCCGCCCATTTACCGATGTATACCACGCGTTCGTTGAGCGAAAATAAATCTGGTAAAAAGCTAGCTATCTTTGGATTGACGCTCAATAATTTACCTGTAAAAATGATACGTCGTTAGTTATACATAATTATACTTTATTAATTAATTTTTAATATGAATGAGATAAAACGTTACCTTGAAAGTGTTTTCGAGATTTAATTTCCCAATCGGTTGGACTATGAAAACGATGATAATCGCCTGGTGCTAAGTAAACTGTTACTTGGTACAACTGGTTATCTGGATTTTTTAAAAGACTCTTCACATATTTTTTATTGTCCTCTTCCGTATATGTTACTTTTTCTTTAGACCTTTTAAGATCAACATCTCCTAAAAAATGCCTAAGATCGTATGTCATTCCTTTGACTTGTTCCACTCTGCAAGATGTTACTGGTCCAAAATGGAGCACTGTACCATCTGATGGGGAAACCTATATATCAAATATATTTGAATTATTATATTATAGAAAATATAAAAGATATATATATACATGGGAAATATTTGTATAATTACCATATTTGAATTCTTAGCAATAGGTCTTGCTTCCTCTTTGAGCGGTCTTACAAAAAAGTCTACCAAAGTTGGAAATCCTGACAAATCGCCGGCTACTTCTTCCAAATCAGCGTTAAAAAGTTTTGCATAACATTGATATATACCTGGTCTTAAACTAATGGGTACTTCTCTATTAGCTATCCAACCCCATATTCTACTTGTTACCCTTAACGGAAGGCAACAGTAGCAATTTACCTTAACGCAAAAAGAACATTTACTTTTACAAATGCAACTGTCAAATTTTCATTTGATTAATCAAAATGTAAATATATTATAAATACGTACTATAAAATCACTTAGTGGTCCTTGAACGACTTCACCGTCTGATGTATGTCTATTTTTCCTAAGATGCCTCCATTGAAAAAAAGCAATCAAAGAAACACCTATTCCCAAGGGAATAACTAACTTCAATTTTCCCATAATAGTAATTTTGGATGCTATTTGTGTTTGATTAGAGGTTGCATGTGATGCGTTCCTTTTTAACATCCTTTGTCCTCCTCCCAACTGCACTAAATTTCTTGAGTCACGCATAATGTTCCGATTGTATTCTTTTCTGAAACGGAGATTAATGTTAACATTATCAACAATTAAAAAATTATTTATCCTAACCTCCCCAGATATATACATACCTCCCATGTTGAAACAGCCTTAAGTATGGGAAATTCCACGAACTTGCCACCAGGCGTCGCATATTCAAATTAAAAGCACACATTTCTTTTTATTAAAGCTCTCCAATATCGGTATCCCTGATATACAGAAGCTCCTTTAATTACCTCGATCGAACTTGCATGTAATTCAGGTTCGTTTTAATAGTGAAAGAAACGTCAGTGCGCTAGTTTCTATAACCTAAAAAACACTCTGAAAAATTCATAATCCATTCTCACGGATATTCATGAATGCAAACAAAGGGGATAAGAATATAAGAAGGTATATAATTAATTCTATAAGAATAATCATCCGACACGCAACGATAGAATAAATAATAAGTATATTAAAAAAAGTTCCAATGGCGCGACAAATATGGATGACTACGCATGCGTGATTAACTTGAACGCGCGAATCCCGTTTAGCACGTTTTGCCCTCTTATCCCCTCCACTTCTCTTTCTCTTTCTCTCTCTCTCCCTTACAAACTCATAAAGACGCACGCGTGAGAAAGAGAGAGGGTTAGAGAGGGTTAAAAAAGGAAAAGTAAAGGGAGGAAAGAGGGCGCAGGTTGTAAATGTATACCTGCGCAGTGGTGTGCGGTAATACGGAGACGTCATAGGAGGAGCGTGCCAGAGAGCAGCTGATGTTGGCATAAGAAGGTGGTAATATAACAGGTGGCTCCGCGGCGCGGCAGGTGGATACATTTCTTCCTCTTTTTCCTCCCCAGTTTGTCTGCTGTTGTCGACAGTAGTAGTGCATTATCCATTGTTTTCTGACGTTCGCGTTACCTGGTATTTCCTATACACACGTTTCTCAGTTTGAATATGAGCACACGCGCACACATGCATACACATATATAAATATACATGTATAAAAGGAATGAGGTATCGGATATCGCGTGTAGCAATACAGATACACACGAATACAAATATAAACGTCAGGTAGGAGAAAAGAAGAGCAACAGCAGTGGTATCATCCCCACCAGTAAAAGCAACAGTGCCATTAACGTTGAACAACAGCAGCAGCAGTTCCAGCAAGACATCAGCACGGTCGAACGAGCAGCACGTCGTTGGTCCACTGGCGGCGGCGGCGCAGGTTGTTCGACGTCAAAAAATGACACATTCGAGTTCGAAGTATCGAGGCTCCTCGTTGCGGTAAAAATTCATCACTGTGCGTTAAGATAGGACACGATTTATTTTATTTTATATTGTTTTACGCGTATACCATAAACTTGTGTCGCGTTTTATCGCGCTTTTTATATACTTACCTTAACAACTGCCTTTGTCTCTTTCTTTCTGTCTCTATCTCTCTCTCTCTCTCTTTTTTTTTTGTTCTTCCTGCTTCTTTTACCCTCTTTCTCTTTCTTTCTCTCTTTCTTCTCACTCTTTCTCATTCTGTTACTTTGTTATTCGCGAGGTTATAATAATATTCTCTAAGGTGGTTTTTACGCGCGCATGAAGGGCCGCGGATTTGGGATAATAAAGAGTGAAACAATGCCGCCGTCCTCGCATGCGAACTGGACGAAACCGTTGCTGAAGGGAGGCCAGATGATGCAGATGCAAGTAAAACGAGTTACCGAAAGGAACGGACAGAATCTAAATTCGAACGGGAGTAACAACGATAGCAACGGTGCTAATATTCCGACCGATAGGAGAATCAAGGTGGTCCTCGTAGGAGACGGTGCCGTTGGCAAAACTAGTTTGGTTGTTTCATACTCGACAAATGGATTTCCTGGCGAATACGTGCCCACCGCTTTTGATAATTACAAAGGTACGACGTTTAAAATACGATTTTTAAAATAGAAAAAAAGAAACCTAAAAGAAACAAGACGACGACGACGACGACGACGACGATGATCCGTTGTTTGATTTTATTTATTGCAGTTTTCTTTCTTTCCGCGTTTCTTAGTTTTTTCCTCGCGCGATCAAATGTTTTTTTATTTTGATTTATTATTTATTATCATTTTTTTTACACGAATCTTTCTAATAACGATTCACACGTAACAACGATTAAATGGAACGTGAGAGAAAACGCGGGCGATATTTTCATTTGAATATTTTCACAGATCCTTCACGCATCGATAATTATAGAGATCGATGTCTCGATATTTTTAATGACAACGCTCCTTCAACGAGGCAATTTTCTTATCTTTTCCTCGTCGATATGATAAAATAGTGTTAAAAGAGATATAGTTAGATAAATTTTTCTTTAATGTACTCTTCATAAATGGCCATATCATTTAATGATAAATCGATGATTGCTTTTTCATCGTTATACTTGTTATAATAATACTTTTCTTTAAATATGAATTTTTAATTGCATTGTTTTTTCTTCTTTTTTTTTTTTAAATAATCTTTGTAATTTGTTTTCTTCATTTTATTGTTATACACTTTAAGGAAATTCCAATAATTTTTATTGTCATTGCAATGTTAGAAATTATTTATTAATTAGAATATAATATTAATGTCTTTTTAACAATCTATTTTAGTTGTGGTTAATGTTGATGGACAACCAGTAAACGTTCAACTCTGCGACACCGCAGGACAGGATGACTTTGATCCTTTAAGATCCCTCTGCTATCCAGAAACAGATGTATTTTTAGTATGCTTTAGTGTTGTATGCCCATCTTCTTACCACAGCGTTGCATCATGGTGGATCAACGAAGTTAAAAAATACTGCCCAAATGCTCCAATAATTTTAGTAAGTTAAATTGATATTATTGATTGTATAACAAGAAATATAATTGTAATAATAAAATGATCTTTTGTTTTATTTTTGTAGGTAGGAACAAAAAGTGACCTAAGGTCAGATGTACGTTTGATGCTACAGCTAGCAAGATATGGTCAAGCGCCAATCACAACTGCTCAAGGTCATCAATTAGCTCAACGATTAGGTGCAGTAAGTTATGTGGAAACATCGGCGTTAACGCATCACGACTTAAAAGAGGCTTTTGATCAGGCTATCGTTAGTGCTCTCAATGCTAGACGTGAAGGTATTGGTATAATATGCAGACGTCGAAAACCACCATCGTTATGGCGTAGATGGTTATGTTGTTTAGAAAGACCGCAGTCAAGCGATACGTAGATTTTATTCTTAAGACTCTCTAGAATGACTCTGTGATCGTAAGCATAAGCTGCCTTGCTGAACTATCATCCATGGATTTAATGGTATCGTTACAAACTTTATTACAGTTTTGTAACTCGACTGTTAAGACCATAAATGATCAGTCCTGGAATAATTCCTCGAGCCCGTCGCACGGCATAATTTATTATAATATTAATTAGATTTTTTTTGCTAGAGTGTATGACGTAATTGGCAGCTCCGCTGGTTGTGATTTTATATCCGTGATTCTATAATCCGTGATTCTTGGACGTTATTATTATTATTTTAATTATTTTTAAGATTCGTTGCACTCAAACTGTTATTGTCATTGAATTGTTTATATTGTATCGCGTGAGGCAACAATTAAAAGTTAAGCTGCATTAACTTTTCATTTTATTTATGATTATTTGAAAGACTTTTAATATAACGTTATTCTAAAAGAACTGTCATTTTCATTATATATCGAAGTAGTTTTTATAAAAGCATCATGATAAAAATCAAAATAACATCACATTTATAAAACTTAAATATTATTAGACAAATATCGGTCTGTGCATAGTGAAATCGCAGTTTCTTATTTTTTGTTTTTTAAAAAAAAAGATACGTATACTATATAGATAAATTATTTATAATGAAAAATTGTTTGCATTAATCGTATTTATATTGAATCATATACACGAGTCAACCATGATGATCATTATCGATTAGAAGGTAGTAAAAAACATCCTATTAATGATATTCGAAATTGTTATTATTTTCAATAATAACAATGAACAAACAAAAACACTTTAGGAATTGTCGTAATTCTGGGAATTACAATTTTGCTAAAAATTATAATAATGTAATAATAGTAAACAAAAATTCAGCTAACAACGGACTACTAGATCAAAAGTGTGATCGATATATTTTGTATCCGATTCGATTATAGCATGCATCGTTCGTGTTATAAGTAATGTACGTTGTTAATAATATTTAGTAGACACAAGTATGAATAACGAAAAAAAAAAAACTATTCTACGAAATTAATTATAGTATTACGAATTTTTACAGAATATAGTTACGCTTGCGTTAAGTCCTCATATTAGATACAGGAAAGGCTAGAAACATTTTTGGCAAATTCTTGTAACAGTGCCTAAGAGTACCTTACTTGCGCATAGCAATTAATTTTTTAGACAATTTTATGAACATTTTTTTAATATATATATATTGAGTCCTATTTGAGTCCCAAGCAAAATGATCATGCTCATCAGATTTCATGTCAAAAAGATTCACTACATTTTTGACTCAAATGGTTAAATTTGAATCCAATTTATATACAAGACTAAACTATTTTTCGGTTTTTTCTTTTTAATGATTTATTTGTTATGTGCATGCAGCATTAGGCTCACATTCTGTCTGTGATTGTAGATCAAAAATATCTACAGACCTAACAATATGTACCCAATACGTACAAAATATTGGTCGTATTTGCGATACTGCTGGAAGACTATATAATAACAGCTTTTAAATAATATTCAAAATATAATACAGTGTACGAAGACTTTAACAGAATGCTTTAAGAAGTCTTAATAAAAAGTGACTTATTTCTTTATCGAAGTTATCATCAGTATTTTTAATAATACTCGATGAAGTTAACGACTATTTCTATGCAATAAATCAACAGATTTAGTATTCGTGCTCATGGGTCCTATTATTCTTTGCTCATATGATGTAGGAAGAATTAGTATTCTAAACTATTAAATCGTATGCATGTAATACTAAACGTTCTTTATTGTATTTTGTATTACTATAAAGAAAAAGAGAGAGAATTATACACATATAGTTACAGAAATTATAATAGATATATATGTGTGTGTGTAATTGGTGTTCATTAACAATAATTGTTTATTTTGTTATATGTTTGCATTAATATTTTGCAAAGAATCAAAATAGAAGTGGTAACAAGAAATTTTTAATTTATGGTAGCTACATTGTTTTTAAGCATCACAACACACATCACATTAATAATAATCAAAAGCACAATCTATGAATACGATAATTGCATAATATATATTCGAACAATTGTCAACTACATTTAATATTAAGTTATTAATTAGGTAGTTACCAAGGAAGATTTTTTGATCGCTTATTTGAAAAAACTTATGGACAAAAATATTTTGATCGTCTTAAAAACTTAGTGAAAAATTAGAGAATTGTTTGATAAACGTTTATATTTCGGATATACGTTTTTTGTATATTTCCATATCTGTAAATGTTATAATCTCCGATAACAGTAATCGGATGTGTATACTTTTGAAACATTTTTACAAGTAGAAGTTTCAAAACTTTGACATAGTTATACAATTTTTGAGTATGTTAATTATTAAACATACGTATTTGATATATTAATTATTACAAATACGTTGCTGTACAATTTTGATAGTATTCCTATCGTTTATTACAAATTAATCATTGTAAATAATATCATTATTAATTGTCATTATTATTGCACGTGTTTATATATGTGTATCATATTTAACAACAGATAGTGCAAGCGTAACAAAGAATATTAGACTGAAGAGCCTACATATATAAATAAATATATATATAAATATTATAATTAATAATATTAAGCGCTTATCAACATCATCTGTATAATAAAGTGAATAATATTTTTGTACATATTATTTCATTAATATATTTTTTAACATAATTTCCTATCAAACAAAACATCATGACGATTATTAATCAATCAATGTTGTTGCATATATTGTTTATATTTGTTTATTGCATTGTTTATATTTGTTTATTAAATTCATGGTAGAATAATATACATTATACATAATAAAAAAATTAAAATATATCAATCGAAATAATTATGTTAACAAAAATATAAAAAACACGTTCATTCATATGATTGGTTGTAGCGTTTGAGATAAGGAAGACATTTTGAAATTGCATACCATTATACAAGGTTTTAAATAGGTTAGGAAAGGAATAATTCCAGTTAGTTGTGTGATAAAATTCAAGGATAACAAGATATTGAATAAGGACAATTCTTAAACAAATATGAAGACAGACGTTAATGATCCGTGGTCTAGAGCAGATGCAGAAATCTTAGAGGATACCGGTGGTGATAATTGTTTTGAGGATTCATTTGTAGATAAATCTTTATATGAGCATGAAAAATTATCTGATTCGGAACAATATTTGCAAAAGCTCTGTAAGTAAATTATTTTTCACAATTAATTAATATTATTACACATTAAAAAAAATGTCCATATGTTTCTATCAAATCTTTTTATCCATGAACATTTGTAATAAATACTTTTATACAAATAATTAATGGTGCGTATATGTGTGTGTGTATAATGAGTGGGTGTGGTCTCCTATTTATTATCATTAATTATTTATAAGTTATATTCTTATCGAATATTTTTCTCGTTTACATAACCCAATGTACTTTCATTCAAGACTCAAGGTTAAAAGCACTCCAAAAAAACACTACCAAAAAAGATCTTGTATGCTCGTTATCAGTAGCTAAAGAAGAGTGTATTGCCCGTTTGATAAACTCTGAACGTAATTTTGAATTAGAGGAAACTGAATTAGTTTCCAATCCATTAATACGCCATATAGTTCCTCATTTACAGGTACGTTGGTCTCAGTATCTTCAGTTAGTTAACGAAAAAGTATAAGTTTAATTTTTGTTAAAACTAAATAAGTACGCTAATATATTTTACATTGTTGCAAAATTTATAATTCTGATTTATACTCTCTTTTTGAGTTGTTATCAATTATATTATCTTAATGATATGACGTAATAATTTTTTTGATACTTTAGGCATTGACACCGAGCGAACTGGTTCATCTTTTAAAAGCTGACGTACTTCAAGTAGTTACAGAAGCCGTAGAAGAACAAGAATCAACCGATAATAATAAATAAATAAATATATATATATATATATATATACTTGCATTAAACAAAAATGTCTATTCCAGCATTATCGGGAAAAGCTTTTTTTTTAATTACTGGTGCTAGTCGAGGAATCGGTAAACAAATTGCAATATCGTTTGGTCCATTACTGCAAGAAGGATCATACGTACTTTTGTTAGCAAGCAATCTAAATGCTTTAAAGGAAACAGCTGCACAGTTACCTTCAAATTTAATTGTCGATTATGCTAGTGTCGATTTGGGAACGGCAACGAAAGATGATCTTAAAAGTAAGCATATTAGCAACACGCGAATTACCATATTTAAACAAGTGTTAATGATATTTTACATATTTTTTTGTACTTTTAGAAGTCATAATATCATCTTTGAAAGGAACTGATCCTAAAGAATTTGATAGAGTTATTCTTGTGCATAATGTTGGAACATCCGGTGATGTTTCAAAATTTACCAACGATATGATGGATATAAACGTATGGAGGAAATATTATGATCTTAATATGTTCATACCTATTATACTAAATGGATTAATGATGGAGATATTTGATAAAAAAACCGATACTAAAAAGCTAATCATTAATATCACTTCTTTACTTGCTAAATTACCGTTTGCATCAACTGGGTATTATTGTTCTGTAAAAGCAGCAAAAGAGATGTTTTTTAAGGTATAAGTTAATTATGTTACATAAAGATAACATTGTTATCATGTTGTTAACTTTCTAATATGATTACTTTATATAGGTGTTTGCGTTAGAATATCCTGAAGTAGACGTGTTAAATTACTCACCCGGTCCTGTAAAAACTGATATGTTAGATGATTTTAGTAAAAATCTTGCTAACAAAGAATTTCGACAAACTTTGACTAGTAATAAAATTTTAACAACGGAAGAATCGGTTACTCGTCTTATAGAAGTATTGAAAGATCATCAATATAAATCTGGTGACCATGTCGATTATTTTGATGAAAAATAAAGCAAATTATTATGGTATTACATGGAAAAATAAAAAATGGGTATATTATGGATAATATAAATAAATAAATAAAGAATATCATTTTAAAATAATATCTTTTTAATAAGAAATTTTACAGCTTAATATACAGAATAAGATAAAAGTTGTTTTCTATAGAAATTTGTTTATGTAAATAATTTGTTCATGCGACAATATATGGTTACAGCTGTACAACTTTTGGTTTTGTTCCACCATATGTAAATCAGTAATTAAGTGTCGTCTATTATGAATAATTTATGTGAATAAATGTAGAAAAGTTAATATATAAAAATGCAAAAGTTAATAATTTTTTCAGAGTCATTGTAAAAAAAAAAGCGACTTTTATCTAATCTTGTACTTGTTATTTACAATATAAATTGTTCGTATCATGTTATATTAATATATATAATATTAAATATTACAATTACAATAAAAATATATTAAAAATCAAAGTCATTATTGTATATTCTTATATCGCAATTTAAAATTTTAATCAATTTTTTACGTCAATAACTAAATTAAATTTTTTTAAATAAAATCTAACAATTTATAAAAAATATACATGTATGTATATATATATACATATGTGAACATTATTAAAACTATATACAACAAAAAAATATAATAAATCTATTAATTATATTATTCTATAACAGCACCTATAATAGCATCTTTAAAAATATAAATATTCTAAATTTGACGATTAGGTAAAAATTGTAACATACCTTTATTCGCTTTCTTGCGAGATTTCTATATATTGTTGACCACACGTACTCGAAATACGAATTTTTATAACAATTGATAATACTATCATTAAAGTAAAAAAAGTACACGATATTAACCATACAGGAGAAGGATATATTGGAGGTAAAAATTCTGTATAAATTGTTGAGTATAAGGTACACGCGAATATTGGCGTAATCATTTGAATGCTTGTGATTAATGAAAAAATTTTACCTATATCAAGTAATTCATAAATAAAATTAATTATTTAAAAATAAAACAGTTATATATAAAATATATAATATTTTATATTACCTATATCGGTAGATGGAACTGATTTAGATACAACAGAACGAATTAATGATCCGCAAAGACCACCAAACATCGATACTGCTATAGCCAAATACATGTGCCAAGGTAGCCATGTAAAGGATTTAATAAAAGCACCACATAAAGATGAAAATGTAGCAAAAATAACTACACTGACCTCCGAAAAACCTACAATGCATAAATAAGTAATTTATATAGAAAATATTTTCGTTTAATTAATTTTCTTTTCGTTTTCAAATACCTAGCAGAGAACAGAGAATTTTGTATCCAATTAAACTCCCAATTCCACCTAATATAATATTGGTCACCATATAATAAGAATATTGAATTGCATTCCAACCAAGTCTTGCATTAGTAAATAAATATATAATAGTCATATCACCCTCTACGGTTGTAATAAGTAAAAGAAGATAAATTGAGCAACACCAAACGAGACAACGATCAAATCCGATTCTACTTTTACAAGCATTAAACAGATTGACGACATGTTTCTTATCAAACAAAGAACTTAAATTCATCTAAAATGCATACAATTTATTAAAATATATGTTTCATTTAATATAATTTATGATATTTGAATGACTTACCGATGAAGAACGTTGTATTGTTTCAGGTACAAGAAATAATATAAATAAATTAGCTAAGAGCGAAAATACAGCTGCAATACCAAATACAAATGCGTACCCAAAATATTTACACATCAAAGGACCAGTGTAAATACCGGCTACAAGTCCAAATAAAAGGTATATATCGAAACAAGTTATGTGCCACGTCCTATCCTCTTCTGAAGTAATATCAGTAATATAACTTAAAGAAGCTAACAAAACAAAACATAATCCACCGAAACATGCGATAGGTATATAGGCTATCAAGAAATACCAAGGATTTATTTGCCACTTGCTCATCAATGAAAGAATAGCAAATCCTAATGTATACCCTATAACAATATAGGACATTAGATTTCATTTATGTAGACAAGTCGAAACAACTAATTTTATTGGCAATAATTTCATTTCCATTACCAAAAAGACTTGTTATAAAAAGAGGTTTCCTTCCGTAAGTGTCACTCCATGGTCCAACAAAAAAGGACAAAATAGTGGGTAAAAGACTCTCAATGACCGATTTACATATGTTAAATATATATATTTCTGGTTGTACCAACTTGTTTATTCTAAGTGCTTCACTGCTACTTCCATTATTTTTTAATAACAAACATTCAGTCTTGTTAATATTCAATACGATTGTACATGTTCGATACAGTACTAATTCTGTTATAATAGCACCTAAATGCAGAGATAAAACAATTATATGCTTAAAAAAAAAAAAAAGAATAAAGAAAATACAAATATTATATTGTTTAATTACCTATCATAGATATAGCGCATAATATCATCATTGCTGGTGGTTGCACAGTCACATAACGTCTCCATCCTGTAACTATTGCCATTTTTTTCTTTGAAATTTAAATAATTATTGTTTTTATTATAATTACACTTCTCCTTTTATAAAATCATATTAAATCAAATATAATAGACTTTTGTTAATAACGTTGAGATATGTTTCACTTGCATGACTTAGCGATATTTATTATATCTGATAATTACTGTGTAACGTCGCTATTTAACAGAAAATTGGATATACATAATTGTTCTTTGTTTCATTTCAATCTGATTGTATGTACGTCAACTTGCCATAATCGAATGCCCCAGACTATTCTATAAGAGGAAGTTGTTATTATTAAAAAAAATTAACTGTCACGATTTAAATATTGATATTTATTTTTGACAGAATAGAAGCATCTTTCACTACTTAATCAGCTGTTTAATTTCAAATGATCAAGGGCATTAATATAAAACGTCAAAATGACTCGTTACCAATTTCTACTAGCTTTGTCTAGCATTCAAACACGAATTATATATTTATAAATTAAATCACATTTACAATCTTTGTTTAAAGATACTGTTTATTTATAAATTAATATATATATAATGTAGGCACGATAAATAATTTTGGATACCTTGTGTATGGTTAGGATTTATACATAGATAATAAGACAAAGATATTTTAAGTTATATATTCATTATATAACTGTACAATTAAGCGTATACGTCATTTTTGACGAATGCAATCTAAAGAATGATAAATGGCAGATAAAACCGTCGAGTATTTGCACCCCAAAAAAATAAAAATAAGCAATGATAAATTTTTAAAAATATCGAATTTTAAATTTTGCCGCCTAACAGTACGCAAGTAATTTACACTCGATCGATTCATTCGAGTTTTCTAACCTAGAGACATCTTTTTCCTGATCATTACTATCGCGTTACGATTGGTGGTAACACTTTATATTATTTTAATTCCATTTATAAAATGTGATAAAAAATTCGTGTTTGAAAGAACTTTCGCGATATGAATTAATATTAATTAATTAATATTAAAAGATAGTTTGACGTGTAAAATAAATATAATTATCATCAGTTTTTATATGACAAAGTGTTAGTTGTACGAAGCTGTCGTATTAAGAATAGTGTGCGTGTAATATGTACACGTATTAAAGTGTAAAGACATTAAAGTGTGTAAACAAGAATAATTATAATTTAACTTATGGTTATGTGAAACTCTCTTCTTTGATTTTATTTAATTATTAATTTTATTATTTGTAGATTTAACGATTTAAAAATATGGCGACTATGGGTGATACTAAACTTGATGTGAGTTTGATGTGTTCTAATATTTAATTTACTTTGACAGATACCACATTTATGTGTCAGATGTTATTGCATGCTTTATTCTTTTAAAAATAATCATGTATTCGTTGTATTGTTTTTTCATAATATTAAGTAAAAATTATTTCTAATAATTTAATCAAATGTTCAACAGATGTACGATGATGCTATGTACGCAGTGGATCCTCAAAATGTCGAAGGAGAAATGACAGTAGGACCAAAACAAAAATCTACTCTTGGTGAACCTGAATTCAACACGTTGGATGAACCTATAAGGGATACAATTGTAATTTATTAATCATTTATATATCCTTTTGATTACAGTATATTTAATATTTTTTTTCATCGAATAACAATAATTTTTTGTTTAATACAGCTTAGAGATGTTAAAGCCGTAGGAAAGAAATTCTATCATGTTTTATATCCCAGGGAGAAGAAAAGCTTATTAAAAGAATGTATGTATGTCATTTATTTAAAGTATTAACGATATGTCATAAAATTATTTAACGTTTGACAATACCATTCATTTTTAGGGGATCTCTGGGGACCTTTAATGTTATGCACATTTATGGCAATGTAAGATCTATTAGTTTACGCGCATCATTTATCATATATAAAACTTTTTAACAGAAAGATTGTATTTATTAATAGGGTATTACAAGGATCATCCGATACAAGTAATAATTCCAATGATGGTGGGCCTGAATTCGCAGAGGTATTTGTTATAGTATGGATTGGATCAATGGTCGTCACATTAAACTCTAAACTTTTAGGTGGTAACATGTAAGTGTTGTTTCTCTTGAATTTTTTATCATTCGATTCACTACTACAACATCCATCAATTATATTCTTCGCATTTTAGATCATTTTTCCAAAGTGTCTGCGTCTTAGGATATTGTTTATTGCCAACTACAATTGCATTAATTTTATGCAGAATTATATTGTTGGTGGAACAGAGTACTTTACTGTTCACACTCAGATTTATTATTACTATGATCGGGTTTATATGGGCAACTTATGGTTAGTATATTAAGGAATAAGAATAAGAGAAGAGTATAATTAGATAATAAGATTTATCGATTATTATCATTTATTATTTTACCTTAGCATCAATGGCATTCCTCGGAGACAGTCAGCCGGTTGGAAGGAAACCTTTGGCTGTTTATCCTATTTTTTTATTTTATTTTGTTATCTCATGGTTAGTAATATCGCATACGACATAAAATCAAATGATAGCTATTAATGATATTTTATATAAAAGACTGTACATGTAACTAATTCGTCTTAGTATTATTAGACATGTGATTGTAATTCAAAATGATATGCATACAGATGCTTTATCATTTAGGATTGATATTATCTGCTTTTTTTTATCTATTACGAGGCATGTATGTACTATGAAGTATTAGTTGCTGAACCGTCGTTTTGTATATCGATTAAAGTATTTATACATATACATAAAAAGAAAAACAAAAAAGATAATAAATATTTATAATAATCTATCTAATATAATCTTGCAAAGCAATTAAAGACATATATTAAGTTTTAATTTTCCTTATTATACTATTCCATTAAAATAAAATGTACAAAGTTAATAATATCTGATAAACAAGATCATGGTTACTATTTTGTAAATAAATATTTGTTAATATTATTGTAAAAGTTATATGCAAGTTTTATTTAATATTTTTAAAAATATAAAAATGTTTTTCACTGTTTTTCTTAACATTTACAAAACACATTTTTAAATGGACATTATTTTTTAATATAAAATTCCCAGTATATCTTACATATAACAAAAATATTGTTCCAATTTTTTAAGAAGATCTATACTCTCGCAGTGTCCTGGATATACATTTAATGATTTTTGTATCGCAATGTAGCTTGTTTGAAAATCTCCTAACTGTAATTAATAACGTGATAAGATTTTTAACAATGTATTGTATTTATATTCAAGTATTATTTCAATACCTTGTATGCCAAATATGCACTATTAAAATGTGGTTCATGTATGTAATTTGCGATAGTGGCTGCCGCATGAAAATAAGTCCTTGCTGTTGTAACATTACCATTTTTCATTTGTATTACTCCGAGATTATTATATGCTAATGCATGTCTATTATCAACTGCAATAGCAAGTTTCAAACATTCTTCTGCCATCTCTAAATCACCTAAAGTCTAAATCCATATGAATCAATTAAATTTTATACAAAACTATTGTAAAATTCAAATCTTATTAATTGTCTTACGATTGCAATATGAGAAATATTGTACCAAACATCAGCTTTGTTTTCATCATTAGCAAGATTCAATGCTCTTTCGAAACACGAAATTGTATGATCGTATTGTTGCGCGTAAAAACAACACAATCCAAGATTATTAAATAATTCAGCATTATACACACCCATTTGTAGTAGTCGTCTACAAGATAATCCATCATTAAGAAAATATAAAGAGCACAACAAATAAATGATAATTAATTACCTGTAAAAGCGTAAAGCCAGTTCCGGTTGATCATTATAAAAATGATGCATTCCGATGCTTGCAATAGCTTCCGTATGAGAAGCATCTTCCTGAGCTATCATTTTATAATATTTCATCGACATCGACATATTATTTAAGCCTTCGAAAATCCGTCCCATTTCAACGAGTATAGTAACCTGAAGTATACAGTCTAATAATAAAATGTTCTCTTATATATTTTATAAAATCATTTTTAATGCAACGTACATCATTTGGAAAATATTCAAGACCACCTTTACATGTATCCAAAGCAGCCAATGGTTGATCTAATCTAATATATACTCTAATCAATCTTACAAACGTTTCAATAGTTTTACAATCACGTAAAGCTGATCTAAATTGTTGTTCTGCATCTCTCACTAAACCTAATGTATAGTAACACTTTCCTAATTGTACCTTCCACCACCAATCTTTGTATTGACAAGCTTGTGTTGCTTGTACTGCTAAATCAAGAGCCTGAAAAGAACTTTATTTTAGTTTATATAATTTTTTACAGTTACATGAATTGAAAATATCCTTTGTATACAAAAACATACATATCAGTACTTACATATCTGGCATCATGCTCGTGATAATAAATATATTCAAATAAAGGTTTAGCAACGCAAGTTTGATTCGCATATTTTGTTATATTTAAACGCGATAATTGTATAAAAGGTCCTCCAGGTTCAGTTAACATAGATGCAGTTCCAAGTCTACACACACAAGATATATTACTTCTTATTAAAAAAAGTAAACGTTAATTTATAATATTTAAAAAATAACAAACCTAACACTTCGTCCAGAAATAGAAGTAATAGGTCTTCCTGTAGCTGCTGTTCTTGGTATTCTCAATGCTTGTTCCATTGTTTGCGATACTGCTGATTGTGTTGCAGGTCTCACAACTCCGGTAACTGGTCTACCTTTAAAAAAGAAATAATATTTTGATTACTGTAAATATTTGAAATGAATTGTTTCTGGGTTATTATACCTGATTGAGTTTTAGGACGGATTCCGTGTTCGTTTTGAGCAGTTCCAGGATTTTTTAAAGACGTTCCTGGTCTAGGCATTGAAGTTACTGTATAATTATCTAACAAACCTTCCGCAATTCCTTCTTCTTCACTTTCTATGTCGTCGACGTATACTTGCAATGTTAAAGCACGCATTTTTAAAACCCACACTGCCTAAAAATAAATGAACATATATCAAAGTTATGAGATTAGAAGAAAAACTCATAGATATTTAATTAATAATAAAACATAGGATATATATATATATATATATAAAATATATTCATACCTGATCTAGTGGATTTTTTTTTAATAACTCCGTACATATAGTTGCACAAGCTTCATATTTTTGTCGACTGAACAAACTCAAAGCGATAAATAAATCCATGGTATTGAATATAAATTAAGAAAAAACGAAATTATTTAAATAATATTCTATTTATACTTGGAATATATATTTGGTATACCTGTTATACTAACAGGTTCTACACTACTGTATATACCTGCAGCAGGTGTATACTTATTATTGATTAGTTTCTTTATGACCCACTTTAACATTTCTTACAATTCGATATAAAATTACTATCTATTTTTTTTATAAATATTCATGTAATCCGAATTTAGTTACATATCATTACAAACTTCAAAGTTTTTATTACAATATTTATAACAAATAACTTGCATGATTGTGATTTTTTATAATTAAAATTCTACAAAGTTTATATTTTAAAAATAATAAGTTATTGTAAGAATTGTTAAAGTATAAATGTTTTGTAGACAATTATTATACAACAATAATGGCATATGTAAATTATGACGACGTCAAGTTAATATAACTTTATATTAATTAAATCTCATCGATTTATTTTAGATTTATATTTTAAGTTCTTTTTATTCTTCTAGCATAAAAAATGAGTTTGAAAAGTTTTTTAATAGAAAAAGTATTGGAGAACAATGTACGAAAGAATCATTGACGCGTTTATACAAACAATTTTTAGTAGGTAGTTCAAATACATTGTATTTATTAGAAAAATCATTATTATATTAACATAATATTTGTAGATGACAAAAAACGAAGAAATGGACATGTCTCAGTTAAAACATGCTTTTGTATCTATTTTAAATATAAAATTGTCTTCTGAAGATTTTGATATCTTGTTTAGAAGGGTAACACTAATTACTTGTGTGTATACATCGTTCAAAATATAATTTATAATATTCACTTGTAGATAAATTTAAAAAATGATGGATACGTAACGTGGAACGAATTTATTTCTTATTTAATAATGGAATTTCAAAAGATAGATGTATCGATACAACATCAAATGTTAGAGCTTCCACTTACAGGTTCTCCTGAAATATTTAGAACACGGCATCGTACTCCGATTTGTAGAATTGCTTTCTATCCTGAATTACTTCCAGTGAGTGCATGTTATGTATTAAAATAATGTAAGTAAGATGCATAGACAAAGACATGTGCAAACCGATTATTGTTCTTAACTTATACTTTGTACTTCCTTATAAATAAATTATAAGAAATATTTTTTGATAAAGAATATTATGTATATTGATAGGATCGAAGTAGTAGTTTTCAAAGAGGATGTTATCTGACTGCTAGCAGAGACGGAGTAATTAATTATTGGTCATTAGATTTTAAATACGAACGCAGTGTACAATCTACTAGTCGTTAGTAATTTTGTTATTAATTGCATTAAATTCTTTTATACTTGTATATGCACACACATATCATATGTATTTATAGCATTTTTGAAGATACAACAAACTGCAATAACCGATATGATATTAATGCCAGATGTGCAAATAATTTGTGTGAGCTCTACCGAACGTGATTTAAGGTTTTACGACGTCGTCGCAAAGAAATTTGAACTACGTGTTATGGTCCATATTATAAATTTTGTATTATACAAAATTTCTCTCTTTACATTATATTAATCTGTAAAATATTTTTAGATATCAAGTTTGGATCACATCGTTGTGTGTATGTCATATTACTTCAGTTCAAGAGTAAATGAAGACTCTTACATTATTTTGGGAGATAAAAGTGGATCTGTTGTAATCATGACTTTTTCTTCTATAGAAAAAGGACCTTTCAAGCAACAGCCTGAATATAATACATTGTTCATTCGTTATGAAGCAGTTATCAAAGTAAAAAATAGTTCATTCATTTCTTAACAATTTCTTCGATATTTGTTTTAAAGTATTTCATTACAGGGTGAGTTACCTGATCTAAAAGTTACTGAAATAAAACATGTACATACGAATTGGATAAATCAAGTAGCTTATTATGGAAGTCTTCGAGCTTTCATGTCTAGCAGCAGATGTTCCGAATGTTCATTATTATTTAGTGATCCAACGAGGATAAGAATACATTATAAATTTACCATCGATAGGGGAATATCTTGTTTTAATTTCTGCGAAGGTAATCTTATATTATTTTATTGATTATATTTAATATCTACTTATTACTATAAATTATTTTGTCCAGAAAGTCAAATGCTTGTAACAGGTGGCCCTGATTGTATAATCCGTGTTTGGAATCCTTTTGTACCGAAAAAAGCGAGCAATACTCTTCAAGGACATAAAGCAACTATTTGTGCTATAATCATACAGAATTTAGGCCAGCGTATTTATTCTTTATCAAAAGATAGATGCATTAAAGTTTGGGATGTTCCTACTCATACTTGTATACAGGTAGTATATTATTTTTTATTTATAAAATTTAATATTAACGCGATGTACAATATTATTATTATTTTCTAGACATACAATGGCTTACAACATGAACTAAGCGAAAACGTAAAAGTCTCTGTAATTTATAATGATTTAACGCATAAAATGATAATATGTAGTCTGTTAATTGCCATAGTTGTTTGCGAACAAGTAATCAATCAGGAAACATCAGATGGAATTACTCATACAAAGCCTGTTAGCTCTGTACTTTATAATCATTTATATAAAGTAGTATGTAACTTTTTATTTAATACTGAAATTATTGTATTATTTTTTTATGAATTATATTGCTATCATTTTAAATTTAGATTGTTTCTACAGGATTAGATTCGTGTATTATAGTATGGGATCCTTGGCTCGGTCGTCGTTTGTATTTAGTAACGAATGCTCACAGTATTTTATTATATGGACAATATGTTAACATCGAAATTACTGCTGCTACGTTTGATGATTCTGAACATTTATTGATAACTGGTGCTAGAAATGGATCATTGAAAATTTGGAATTTTAATACAGGAATATGCTTACGGAATATGGCAATAGAAGATCAATGGTAAAATTAATTTTATATTAAATGATCAATACATTTATTATGTTACTTTCATTTTTTTTATAAAATTATGCACATTTGTATTATAGCGAAATAACAAGTTTAAGTTGGGTGGAGAATCGTATTTTATGTACCGGATGGAATCGACATGTTACAGAATTTACAATTTCTAAACTTGATACATATAAAAAAAGCTGGGAGTTGATACATACAGACGATATACTTTTCTCAGCTGTACGATATCCACAAGTTTTAACCACTGCTTCATATAATGGTGAAATTATTTTTTGGCAACTTGAAACAGGTCAACCATACAGAAGATATCAAGTGAGTAACCCAACTGGAAGGTAAGAATTTTAATCAAAAAGTACATAAGTTATAAGAATATTATGTGTTCGATTAAAAAAAGGAATATACATTTAAACTATCATAAAATTTACATAGGTATGCTATTAAATATAAAAATAATCTTAAAGAAAATACGACAGAAATTTCATCAATAAAAGAAATTAAATTGGAGAAAGAAAGTTTAAACGAAGGATACTTAAATAAAAATCAATCTAAGTAATTATAAAGAATTATTTTAACCAATAAATATATATATAATATTTCAAATATATTAAATTCTGCTTCTATTTTTTTTTTTTATAGAAAGCACATCAATATTTGTTCTCATCAAGAATCAGCGATAAATAGAACACGATCAGTGACTGTCAGCGCTATTATATATTTAAATTCGAGACCAATAAATTCTAATATTGGTACATTATTAGTCTCACTTGAATCTGGAATCATACAAGTTTGGAGTCATCATCCTGCTGGAGGATTTTTAACAGGTTTCTCAGTTATTCATACAAGAAGAGACTCTGCTATTTCTTTAGCTACCGATCCTGAAAATAATTACTTGATAACAGGTAAAATATCGAGTAATATATTAAAAATCATATTTATTCAGCATGTAAAATATTGTGCTTGTAGGTCATTGTCTCGGTTATATAAAAGTCTGGTATATTGCAAATTACATGATACCTAATCCTCCCAAGCTATGTATGCCACTTTTGAGATTAGAATTTCCATTTCTTTGGAGAGATAAAATAAATGGTCGTGCTAAGCGAGCTGTAAGAGACCAATCGTTACCACTTTTATTGTCGTCTCATCGTGGCCATACAAAACCAGTTACATGTCTCCAAATAATTCCTAACGCACGTATTATCATTAGGTATTTATTTATATCATTATGATCATGATATAATATAGTCTATGATTGTATTATTATTTTTAAGCGGGAGTATAGATCATACGGTACGTTTATGGACTTTAGGAGGTCGTTACATATCAACTCTGGGAACATTTAGAGAATGGATGCCAATTTTACCTAACATACCTGCATATAAATATTTCCAACACTTTAGATACCCCATGGATATTAAAAGATCGGCTAGTTCTACTACCATGAAAGTAAATTTAATATACAAATATAACTATATATTAATATATCAATTACATACAATAATTAATATTAATTTATAAAAATATTCAACAGGTTCTTCAAGGAGGTTTAGGCTCGGTTGAAGTCAAAGACGTTGACGAAACTGATTATTTGAAAGAAATACCCGAAGAAGGTAGATTAATTTTGTATGGAATACAATTGCAAAGCCCAATTCTTGGAAACTATTTGAAAGTATCTGACAAAACAAAACATTATATCGAGCCGATAATTTTGGATAATTCTTTGACGCATGTAAGTTATAATTTTAAAAATTTCGTAAGATATTATTTAAACTTTGATCATTTTTTTTATAACATTGATAGATACCGGTGTATACGCATTTAACAACACATGACTTAAATCATGTCGAATCTAAGTTATCTATAATCATGCATGACAAAAAGGAATTGCATTAAAATGGCTATATATAGATATATATATATGATCATTATTATTAATTCTATTTGTGCCAAATAATATTACGAATAAAAAAAGAAGAAAGAAAGATATAATAATTACATTCTAGAGCCAGTACTTTATACGAGTATTTCACGGAAAAAAAACGATATAAAGAATTTCATATAAAGGAACATTAAAAGTTTAAACGCTCAAAGTACTGAGTACATTATTTTTATAAAAATTTAATACAAAATTATAACATACGTACCGCCGATGAAAAATAGAGAACACACATTGTGAGTATGTGCATATCAGATAATTCAAAGTTCGTTGGACTTATATGTTACACAATAGCGTAAAAAAATTCTTGAATAGTTTAATACTATTAAACAGGTTATGCTTATTAATAATATTAATAGAGCTTTTGTGATTACATATCAATTTTCAATTGAAAGTAGACAAATTATTCAGCTTCCATCATGGAATAACGTGGCGGTGTCTTCCAGATTGCACTAGATGTACGTTTTAATTTTTTTCTATCAATGCCAATAAATAATTCCGTTAAATCTGGTGTACACTTCCGAGTATCGAAGAATTTATAAATTGCTATATCCGGTATATATCGCTGCATCGCTAATTGTGCTTTTCTTACATTTGCTAAAAAATATAAATAAATATAAAAAATTAATATTATTATTCTCTCGAATGCAAAATATACTGTTAGTAATCGACGTGGTTCTTATTAACGCGTTAGACAATAAATACGTACGTTGTGCCCAATGAGGAATTACATGTTTTGGTTTGTTTTCATCATCTGAGTCATCATCATCGGGTTCACTATCAAGAACGTAATTTACTGGACCCGGATTTTTATTAGCAGCTACTTGTTTATTCTAAAAATAATATATTAATTATATCTCGTAATAAATATCATATATAATATAAAAAGAAAATACAACAACTAACTTTTGCTTGCGCTTGAAGCATTTGTGTTTTCAATCTCATTGCATCTAAAGCAGCTTGTTGTTGAGCTCTTGCTTCAGCTTCTCTTCGTTTTTCAGCTTCCTGTTCCCTACGTCTTTGCTCAACAAGTAAACGTTCAGCTTCTTCTTGTTCGATTAATCGTTGTAATCTCAATTGTTCTTCTAACTTTTTCTTCTCTTCTTTTTCCTTTATTAGAGGAAAAAAAGAAAAGATACAACAATTACATGGATTTTTTTTTTTTTTTTTTTTATTCTTAATACGTATATCTGTTAGATTAATTTTGTTTTTTGTATAGATAGAAAGAATATTACCTGTGCTCTTTGCAATTGTGCGAGTCGTTTCTTTTCCATTTCTTCCCGTTGTTTTTCTTGCAACTGTTGTGCCAATTTTGCTTTCTCTTCCTTCTCTCGTTCCGCCCTCTGACGTTTTTCCAATTCTTGCTTCTCTTTAGCTTCTCGTGCCAATCTATTTTTCAATTCCTTCTCCTGTCTTTTCCTACGAGACAAATATAAATAACGTGGATAAATAAAATTTCATTTGTCAAATAAATCAAATCATTTTTGTAATTAGATTTTACCTCTTTTTTTCTTCTGTCTGCAATCTCAAAGCTTCCTCTCTTTTTCTCCTTGCATTTTCATCATTAGCTTGTTTCCGTTTAATTTCCTCTAATTTGTCTATAGAATTTCGTTTGTTAGTTGTTTTTAATACAGGAATAAATGAATCCATTGATGTTAAAATATTTGTACGCGAGCCGGTTAAAGCTTTCGTACTCTGAAAATATAGAACATAACTTTATAATAAATTTATCTTCAATTTTGCTTGCGCAAGATGTAATAAAGAAAGTAATTTATTTTGAAATTTACGTTTGGAAGTATAAAATTGTTGACTGGAGTTTGTGCAATACGATTAACGGACATCGGTAACTGTATTTTAGGTTTACTAAGAGGAGTTATTCTTTGCCTTATTTTTGAATTAGTTTTCTCGTTCTGGAATAATAATTGGTGTTTGTTTCCTGTGTTATATTTATTCTGAAAATAAGATTTTATCATTTACATAATCGTAAGATAAGAAGAAAAGAAAGAAGGAAAAATATCAAATAATCACTTACTTCCTTAATTTCTTCTTCTTCCTTAACTTGTTTAGCCAGAGAAATTCTTTTCGCCTTGGCAAGCGATTTACGAGCTAATTTTTGTGCAACATTTTTATCAGCTTCTGCAGCAGCCATTGCACGTGTTTTCGTTCTGGTTACTCTAGTAGGCGCATCAACGTCATTTAATTTGGGACTACTCATGCAAACTTGTTCAAATGCTTCTACTCGTTTTTTAACAGATTCCTTGGCATAAGGACTGAATAGAGCATTAGGCCTGTATGCACTTTTAATATCCTTTAAAGTAGCATTTTCTTTCGGAATAAGTTTTACTGGCGTATTAAGAACTTCTTCGTCGCTCGTTGAAGGAGATTGCAACATCATTTGATTTTGTTTCTTAGCATTATTTACTTTCGCATGTTTTACCTTTCCTCGTACTTTCTTTAATTCCGGTGAAGATTCATCATCCGTTATTAATTCGTCGAATTCTTTATTCGCCATCGCTTCTTTCAATTGTTGAATTTTATCCTTTTGTTCTTTCTTAGATTGACTCTTAGTATCGGACGAATCACAATCATTTAATTTATTATTGTCGCTTGTAATATTATCATTTCGTTCGATATTTTGTTGTTTATTATTATTCTCATTACTAATAAAATTAACTGAATTTTTCTTTATCGTTACTGTCTCGTTTAATAGTAATTGCCTTGGTAAAGGTTCTAAAACTACTGTCGCGTTCATTATTTTATTTATTAAATTGGGACTAACTTTCATCGTTGAATTCATTATTGGAGGATGCTTTGGTAACGCATCTTCATACATTGATGGTTCATCAATATCATCTGTAATACGAGCAGGAGGTGTTTCATTGACCTCATTACTTTTATTATTATTTCCTTTTTGATTATCCCTCGCAATTTTTCTTCCGCTCGATCTTCGATTTTCTAAACTGTAGGTACAATCATTAACTTTAACAGATTTGTCTTCTTCGGCGCTAATTTGCATCTTGTTATCCTCATTATTGATATCTTTCTGATGATCGTTACTATTTGTTTTCCGATTTTCGGTTTTAGTGTGTTTCGACGGTCTTTTATCTTCATCTTCGTCGGAACTTCTCGAAGATTTAGTCCTTTTGATTCGATTCTCGGAAACTACCTACAGAATAATAAATATATTTCATTAACTTATTGAAACTTTACGAATAATATTTAAGCAAGATTGATTTTACTCATAGTAAATCTTACAAGCAATATGTAAGGAATACGAGTCTAACTAGTAAATATTAAATGTAGCCTCTGCTAAATTAATAGTGAGAGAATTTAATATTTGTATAAATTTATAGAAACCTTATTCGTATTGTTGTTGGATTGAAAGCTTTCGATAGGTCTTCGTAATTTTTGTGTCACTGACATAGATTGTTGTTTTCTTATATTATCTGCAGCAGCCTTGGAAGCGTGCCTCTTTTTCCTAATACCAATAGTTTCTTCTAAATTAATTTCATTCTTCGGTTTATCATCTTTATCAATGGAAAGTACTCTCTCCGTAATATCTAATATATTATTTTCCGGTATTGTTTCAATACGTTGAACTCCTTTTCTTGTAACTAACTTAGGAGTTTTCGCTATAATAGGGACAGACGATGATTGTGATATTTGAGCTACCAAAGCTTGAAGATAATTTAAAATTTCATCTGCGTTATCCCTTATAGACTTTTTAACTTCTTCGCAACGATTAAAAAGATCTTCTGCATCTTTAGCGATCATCGCTTTAATCCTATCCTTAGAATAATTGTTCATTTTGAAAACCTAACAACAAATCAATTACATTGTTTATAAAGATCATACAATGACATGCATATTCATTAAATCAAACGTAAAAATGAAGACAAGCAATGTACAAAATTTTACAAAATCAAGTTGAATGATATTAAACAACATGGATTATAATTTACAATCGATTATGTTAGGTATTAGAATAATAAACGATAAGTTTATAATGCATAAACTATAGATAAGCTTAAATAGCGCGCGAAAATGACCTTAAACATTAAATTCATACCTTAATATTCTACACAATTTAATTATATTAGAAATAAGTGAATTATATATTCAAGTTACACTTCGTTAATGTACAACAATCACGTAAAACAATAAATTCTTAATAAATATTAATAAAAATGAAACTAAATGAACTATCACCGATGATGCCCATGTCGCGTAAAACCGGGCTATATTATGTCGGCTTTCACGTTTCTGCTTAACGTCTTTTCCGTTTAATTTGAATTTTTAACTGCTAGCGCCATCTGATCTGCAAAAAGTAAAACTAATCGAGATAATTTGTAAATTCTGCAAGTGCATTTATGCAAGTATATTCTTGATTGCGATTGGTCGATATTGAATATGAGTATGCGCTTTAAAGAAACATGGAAAATTTAACTGTTTCTTTTTTTTATCTTTTTTATCTTACAAAATTAATCATGCAATAGTATCTACGATGTATATATATATATATATATTTCGTAGTAAATAAATGTCACACACACACACATGTTTATTCGTATTTATAAAAATCATAAAAATCCTGATAATACTAAGACTAATAATAATAATAATAATGCAGAAGAATTTTTATTCAGCGAATACGAATAAGTTTAACAATGCAACTTCTTTTATAAGATACATAGATATGTAGATACATAGATATCTATAAACCAATCACAATTTTGGTTACAAAATAAAATCGCGTTGATAAAAGTGACGATAAATATATATTCTAATTAACAGGATGTATAAACGGGATATAATATTAAAGGGGCGCGAAAGAAAAAAACAAGATTTAAACTTCGATTAGATTTAATCTTTGTTTATCATATCATAAAGTTACAATTTTTATTTTTCAATATAAAGAAAGATGTATTAGTATTACTTATTTAGAACAAGTAAAAGATAGTTTCTATATAAATTGTTCCATATATTAATTATTATAATTAAATATTAATATTAATTTCAATTTGTGATATCCACACATACTCGTATTTATTTATTAATAATTTAAATAAGGTAATTTCCAATATACAGAATAATAATTAATCAAGATTTATTTCTAATTAATAATTATATAAATTCAAATTTGTGGAAATGGGAGTGATTAAAAAGTTATTTAATTTATTTTCTTTTTACAAGACAACTATGCTGTTATAGAAATTTCTTAAAAAGAAATATGGACTCATCAAACTTGGAAGTAACTGACCCTAATACAATTCTTTCATTAATAGAGGAATTAGGTGATCTATCTTATACAGAAATACAATTAAAATTAAATACATACGTATGTATAGTTCAATATAAACTAATCTATTGAGTTAATTATTAAAAATACTAATTAATGTAATTTTTCTTTTTTAGATACAAGCTAAAACTGGTACAAAATTATGTTTCCTTGCTTCTATTTTATATGAAGGAAAAGAAATGGTTATTCATGTGATAGGTAACAAAGTTTTGGATCATGAATTAAGATTACCTGTAAGTGAATATATTCTTTTTTCGTTTGTTAATTAACAAAAACAAACAATTAGACTAAATACATATAAATAATATTTTTTTAAATACTTTACACGTATATTCACAATTGACAATTCCTTTTCAGATATCAAATATCTTAAATAAAGTTATCGATTCGCAGAAAACAATAATGGCTAGTTCTTCCGAATTAACTAAAGAATTATTACAACACATTTATTTATTAGATACACGTTACATCGATAAACCATTTCTCCTAATTCCTGTACAACATCATCATCATCCAAAACAATTAACGGCATTGGTTGTGTGCATAATTGGTTGTGAAAATAAAACTACCGCTATAGAGACATGTACAAAAATAGTTCTGGAATGTTTTAGGTAAAATAGTTTCCTTTTTTTTTGTGTTTATATAGAGAGAAAGAGGGAAAGAGAAATCTATTTTCTATAAATAAGAATTAATTAAATTAGGGATGCACATTTTTGTAGTAGTAGTAGCGATAGTAAATTCTACTACTATGTATAGATATTGCCTTGGATATGTTCTAAACTCGTTAAGATGTTACGAAGAAACTCGATTAAAACATCAATGTCAAAATATACTTGCTATTTCTAGAAAACTTATTACTCGTTTAGGTACATTATATTCTTTTCTATTTAATATACATTTAATTTAATTCTATATATATTTGTACTACTTCACAATTATGTTATTCGATAGGAGATTTAACTGATCTATTACGTGAAATCATGACTGAAGTTAGAAACCTTACCAAAGCTGAACGGTGTTCCTTATTTCTTTTGGAAAATGATCAACAAGAGTTAGTTGCATACGTGTTCGATGGGATATCAATAAAAGAAGTGAGTTATTATTATTTATATATTTTTTTTTACATGATTTATATAAAATACTTCAAATATTTTCTTACAGTTTGTTAAAGAAATGCGAATATCCGTGAGTAAAGGTATTGCGGGTCACGTTGCTACAACAGGACAATTATTAAATATCAAGGATGCTTATTTGCATCCATTATTTTATAAAGGCATCGATGAAGCAACTGGCTTTAAGACTAAAAATATACTTTGCTTTCCTATCCGTGACGAAAATGGAATCGTTGGTAAATATTAATATAGTTATTATTGTTTTTTTATTTAATATTAATATATTCGTATTTAATTTATATCGTATTTAATATTAAACGATGTATAAATGTTTACAGGCGTCGCTCAACTTTGTAATAAAATAGGAGGCTTGTATTTTGACGACTTTGATGAAGAAATTGCAACAGCTGTTAGTATTTATTGTGGTATCACGATTATGCATAGTATAGTATATAAAAAAATGAAGGATGCGCAAGCTAGAAATAAATTGAGCAATGAAGTCATGATGTATCATATGAAGGTAAACTGTAAATCCTAGACGAATCATTTATTTTTTAAGCAAATTCTAACATATATAAAATTGTAGGTCGAAGACGAAGCTGTTTTCGAATTGCTTAATTGGAAAATTGAAGATAATATAGCAGACTTTAGCGAATTTCATTTTAGTCCTAGAGATATACACTATGAAGATATGTCTTGTTATATGATCAAAATTTTTAATGATTTAAGTTTCATTCAATATTTCAAAATCAAAATGAACACACTAGCCAGGTAATTTTAAATTAGAAGAGAATATAAATACCTTAATAGAGTTAAAGATTAATATAAATATTTTTCTTATTATTCAGGTTTATACTCTATGTTAAAAAAGCTTACAGACATGCACCATATCATAATTGGGTGCACGCATTTTCCGTAGCACACTTTGCCTATTTATTAATTAGAAATTTGAATCTTATTAAAGAAAATTATTTAACGTACTTGCAAGCTTTTGTATTCTTAGTATCCTGTCTGTGTCATGACATAGATCACAGAGGAACTAATAATGCTTTTCAAACTACGTCCGAAACAGTTTTAGCAAGTCTTTATAGTTCTGAAGGTTCTGTCATGGAGGTAGATCAATCTTATGATCAATCTTATTATCTTATAAATATAGATATACATGCTTTTATAATTATTTAACAGAGACATCACTTCGCACAAACTATGTGCATTTTAAACACGGAAGGCTGTAATATATTTGAACATTTTACTAGTCAAGAATACAGAGAGGCATTGGGTTTTCTAAAAAACAACATACTAGCAACCGACTTAGCGTCTCACTTGCGTGATATAAAGAAACAAAGCGAAATGATCAAAACTGGCTACAAAAATCAAGATTCTAAAAATCAAAAACTTCTTTCTGGTATGTTAATGACCTGCTGTGATCTCAGCGATCAAACTAAGAATTGGACGATTACCAAAAAAGCTGCTGTAATTATTATTATATCTTTATATCGTGAGATACAATGAGAGCAAATAATACAATTGGAAATGTTTTCTTTTTTCTTCAATTTTTTTTTTTTTTATTAGGAATTAATTTACGAAGAATTTTTTTCTCAAGGTGATTTAGAAAGAAGTATGGGTAAAACTCCGATAGAAATGATGGATAGAAATAAAGCGTTTATACCGGATCTACAAGTACAATTTATTACAGATATAGTTGTTCCAGTTTTTACGTAAGTATATTTATGAATCTAAGAAATTGTTTCTTATGTTTTGAGAAAAAAAAGAACTACTGTTTCTTTCCTTAGTAATCTGGCCATGTTATTTCCGATGGCTAAATCATTTGTTGAAATTTTAAAATATAATAAAAGGTTATGGGAAGCCTCGAAAAAGGTATTTCAAAAATATGCCGAAAGTGGAATACAGGGTATGAACGTCCTGTTGGATCCTAATTTTGAAACTGAAGTATTTCTTACTTATTTTAGAGATACTAACGAGAGTAAAAATATTGCATGTAAATCTTAAAAAAAAATATTCATATTTAAATATTTACATACACATGTATAAAGTAATAATAGTTAGAAAATATTTAATATTAGTTCTGTAAAAAAAACAAAATGAAATTAATGTTAAATATAAATCTTACATATTTAAATATCTAAATGAAAGAGATAACACCAAATATTACAATTTAGAATAAAATTGAAAATTTTTCCTTCGTTCTTCTTCTTCTTTTTTTTTTTTCTATCTATACCTAATTAAAATATTTAATTAGCATTCTTTTTTTAATATTTTTAAATATAATATAAAACATATATATATGCAGTGTGTATGTGTGTGTAGAGAGATATTTTTTGTTTTTTTTTTTTCAAATTGGCTACATTGACGAGAGAAAAAATTGAGTATTATATTTTTTAAGGTTGGCTGCACTTTTAAATGTTGTTTTTGCTAACACAAACGTTTAGTGATAGTCGTATATACTCAAATGTTCGGTATTTATTAATAATGTGTGCAATTTATTGATATATGCAATATATACATTTTAACATATATTATTTGTATATATATATATGTATATATAATAGAAAAATAGTTGTGTTTTAAAAATATAATAAAATTATACATACATACGTGTTTGCTTATATGTGTATGTATATATCGATTATCACTAATGTTGCATTGCGTCATAATAAAAATGTGTCAGAGGATAAAAAGTTATTGTTTATATCACTTTAAATTATAAATTTAATAATAGTATTTATTTGAATAAATGTCTGTGTGTAGTTCGTGTAGTTTAATTTTTTACTATTTCATGATGGTTAGAATAACGTTATTGACTGATAACAAATGTCAATTTATTTCTATAACCTCAGAATAAAATATATTTGTTAAATAAAATTTTTTATTATTTATCAATCTCTGTTAATAGAGAGATAATACATTGTAATAATATGAAAACAAATAGGAATCAATGAATAATATAATAAGTTACATTCGTAAATTATTTTTTAAAATGAGTTCTGACGAAGAGTATAATATAGCGGCCAGATATAAAACGGTTAGAAAACGTTTAGATAGTCTTGGTTATCAACAAGCACTATCTTTGGATGCTCTTCCATTAATTGAACGCTTACTGGCTGATCTTATTCAAACTACAGAAAGCTTGAAACATTTTAAAACTGTTGCGCAAGATAACATTGAAGTACGTACATAAATGTATAATATTATTTGTATCGACTAACTCTTGTCCGCTTACAAAACATATCACTTTCACAAACTATAAGAAGTTTACTGAAGTTTACCAAACAATTGATAGATAAGAAAATATTTCAATCCCAATCAAAGTTAGTTACAAATGTCAAAATCAATTCACATTCTTTTTTAAATATTTTCCCAAAATTATCCTATTGTTATTATTATTACTGTTATTATTATTGGAAGATTAATAATGGATTATTATATTCTTTTTTAAATTGTCTACAGGCATGTAACCAATTGCAATTAATAATTGATCCATATAAATGCGACAATGCAAGATTAGTTCAGGAATGTAATCAACTTCATTTGGATCTGATAGAAACAGAAGAAACGTATCAAAAACAAATTAAAGATTTGAAGAAACAGGTGTACAAATTAGAATGCGAGTGTAACGACCTGCAATTAGCTTCTTCTAGAAATTTACAAAAAATAAAGGATCTTGAAATTGAATCAGCTAAGAAGTCGAAGAAGATATTAGATCTCCAAGGGAAATGTTTGAAACCGATTATAAGCAATGTAGGAATCGGTAAGAAATTTATTATATATTATTTTTTTTTTTTTTTTAATCTAGGTTTTTGTTTTTAAATCTTTATTAAATACATTTTTCTAGGTAGCAAAAAGCGTCCTTGTTATCCGTTAAGAAGACCCGTTATAGAAGCTGAGCCATTACCGAATATAGGAAGTACCCACAGTACCTTACCTAGTTCTCATTCCGTTGAGCCAAAAATATTAGATTTATTAAGCATGGCAGATCATAGAATGAGCTGTCTAAGCCACGAGGTAACAAAACTTAAAGGAGAACTTTCATTACAAACTGATAATGTATACACTTTACAAAATCAGGTATGTAAAATATGTCCAGTTTGTTTAACTAAATGATTTTTTTATATTACCTTTAATTGATCAATTTAAATATTCAATATTGCAGTTAACAACAAAAGAAAAAGAGATAATGAGACTGAAAAAATTGTTAGAGGGTGGTCGACCATACAGTGCTGTCGTCAAGGATTGTCTTTGTAAACAAGTTGATAAGATGCATGTTGCATCCAATGATGCTGATGAAAATATTGATTTAAAGACTATTTTACAAAATAAACAAGAGTTAGAGCAACAGTTAAAAGGTAAGAACGTATTTTTAACCATTTGAGATAGTAATTGTCGATATGATTTTTTAAAGATTTTTTGGATTCAAATGATTAAATATATCTTTTATTATATATAATAATTTATGAAATTTTTCAGAAGCTGTAAATAAGCAACACGAAGTTATGTCCCAAGCAATGAAACTCGCCGAACGAAATGAAGAATTAGAAAAAGAGTTAAGGGATATAGATCACATTGCATTAGCGGTAGAAGCTGATTGCAATTCTGCAGTTAAGGAAAATAACAGAAGAGTTTATAGACTTCAGGTGTATATATGATTTTTATAAGAAATATTATTTATTATTCGATTGTGGGGACAGATTTTACTTAATATTTTCTATTGAATATTTCAGGAAAAGTTAGAAGATGTGATGGAACAAGTCCACTGTTTAGAAACAGAGTTAGCAATGAAACGTAGAGAAGTGCAAGAATTGACGGCAGATCTTGAAGCGAGTAAACTTGAAAAACGAAACATTCAACGTACGTTAGAATCCACGTTAGAAGAAAAGAAAAGAATTACTAATAAAATTAATCAATTAACAATAATAGGTATGTCTTTTAAGATTTTTATAATACCAGTTTCTCTGTAACAACATTTAATTATATTGTTGATTATTATAGAAAAAAGTTTAAATGATGAAATAGAAAGATTATCGAAAGAGAATGAATCTCAGAAGCAAGATATTATACAATTACAATATACAAATAAAATATTGAGAGAACAATTAGGTTCAACTAAAGTTATGGAAGGTGCTAGCGTAAATGATTTGAAGCAATTAAGAGAAAAAGGTGAAAAAAATGATCAAAACAGAGGGAAGAAAAGTATGGGAAGTAGAACAGGTAATATACATTTTGTTTCCTGTTAACCATCACTGAGAAGATCTGATTTAAATAATTTTGTTATTTTTATAGATGCAGAAGATAGGGAGTACTCGTCATCCTCTCAAGAAATAAATATCGACAGAGAAAATGATAGAGCATCTGAAAACATGCGAAAATTAATTATTGAAAAAGATTTACAAATAGATAATGTAAGTATAAATCATATTAATTAATATAAATATGAATTTTCTTAATATATTTATTATATTTCATTTGTTAATCATAAAATATATAAATTTTAGTTACAACAAAGTATAAAACAATTGGAAAACGAACGAGATTACTTCAGAAATGAATGCAATTGCTTGAAGCACCAGAAAGATGAAAGTTCTAATAAAGAAAATGTAAGATTAATTTTTTTTTGTATGTATATATTAATTTTAAATAAGTATTAAAATATAATTTTATAATTATTGTATAAAAAATAGGTTGAATTGTGGACGAGGTCGTATGAATTAAGGTGTCAATTAAATGAAAAAGAAAAAATAATCTTTGAATTAGAAAAGGAGAAAAACGATTTGTACCACGAAAAGAAAGAATTGGAAACACAACTGGAAATTTGTAAGAGTCAACAAAAAAGATCTTGCGCGTCCGGTGCAGTTGGTACCAGCAGTATGCATCCATCTTCTACGTTGTCGCATGACATCGGCACAGAAACTACAAAAGTAAGTAGAAAAAAAGTTGCGTTAGAAATATTATTCCATTAGAAATATTTGATAATAGAAATATTTCTTTCGCAGGTAATGCTGGATTCTTTAAGTCGTGAAAGGGATACAGCTAGAGCAGATGTTCAACGTTTGATAGAAGAACGTGACGCGTTATACGAAAGACTTAAGGTAATTTTATTATCAATAGTATATATATACATTTAACATAAAAAATCATATTAATAAAGAATTGTTTTGCAATAGGGAGCACAAAGAGGAACTGTAAATGGTTACGACGATCAATTAGAAGATTTGCAAGAAGAATTAAGAAGAACCAAACAAGAATTAACCGTACAACGTACACAATTTTTTCAACTTAGGTATTACATTGATTTTTTTTAATAAATAAAATTTATAAATAATACGTATTTTTTTTATATATATGATTACATTTTTTAAAAATAATTAAAATAAAGAATTTATTATTCAGGGCATTACAGGATCAAACGGATCAAGCGCTAGGAGATATACAGGGTCAATTAACTCAATCCGAGACGGAATTAAATAAGGCGATAGATCGTAATAGAAATATGGAGCAACAGCATTTACAACTTGACAATCAAGTGAAGGAGTTGAAACAAGAAATCAATAATCTTCACACAAATATGGCGCATTTGGATCGAGAAAAAGATCAATTATTAGTTAGTATCATTTATATCATATTAATAATTGTAATATAATTCAAGAATGTTATTACAATTATTTCGTTTTTTCTTATTAGATAGTGTTAGATGAAAAGACTGAAAAGATCGTCGCTTTGGAAAGAGAATTGATACACAAAGAGCAACAAGCAAGTAGCATGGAACAACAGATGCGGGATCTACGACATAAAAATGAGTAAGTACATTCAATATTTTTCATTAATACAAATCGTATCATTGCAAATTATGGCACAGTTTAAGGATTAGGCCATAATCCGTAATATATTATAATAATACATAATATACTATTAAATTCTATATACAATAATTAAAGTACACATTGATATTTAATAAATAAAACTATACAAGAACTTAAAAAATATTAAATAGCCTATTAGAAATTGCACAGATATTACTATTTACATTATTAAATATTGTTAAACCACGTTTCTTCTTTTGTTTTTTTTTTTTATACAGTTTGAGCCTGAGATTTGTTTCACGTTATAATTAATATTTCGAATATTCAAGGATTGATCATTTTGATGTTACTATTCAAAAGTCTAGCTAACGTCACAGTTGGCGGTTGACATTCACCTGATGACACCACATTGCTACTTTCCATTTCACTCGCATCTAAACCATCCGTAACTCTTTTATAACCCGGACGGCATTCGCAAATGGCTTTTGGCTGTGACTCCTCATTAACCCACAACTCGTTTTTCGGAATTCTCCTTGCCACCAACCATTCCCCTGCCGTACATGGTCCTTGAGTGTACAATTTGTAACATTTTTTATCCATTAATACCATCCCCGGTATATTTTCACAACTATTACTATCGTTATCGTTTTCCATACACTTGTCAGTATTTTTTAAATCATTGGTACAACCACACAATCCATTGTAACTTATTCCATCGATGGACGGTCGTACGTTGTAATCATAGGATACAACTTGTCCATTTGGACATGGTCCTTTAGTACCGATCTTATAACACGTATTTTCTTCGGGAAAATATAATCTTCTTCTTCTGCAAGGTATTTCTACACAATTAGATGTGTTAGTTATCATGTAACCATTTTCACAAGGGCCTTTCGTATAAAGTCTGTAACATAATCCATCCTGATAGAGTACATGATTGATTTTACATTTACATTTCGCACGTATCACATTTTCCTCTTGATGATTGGTGTCCGTTGCATCAACAACAAACTGATGACCCTTTGGACATGGTCCAATACTTCCTGTTAAAATAACATGATCAAATATAATTAGATCCCATTAGTAGATTATTATTTCCCTTATAATATCAATCAAATTACCTAATTGATAACACATTCCAGTTGATTCGTGGTAGTGCGGTAATTTAGGATGACAACCACATACACCACCAGGTAGAAATAATTCCCCTGGTTCAGTGCATGGACCTTTCGTGTAATGTTCATGACACCCACCAACACTTCCAAGCCAATAATATCTTCCTAATTCACCTGTCATCGAACAGGAACACTTAGCTAATCCGTCTTCTCCTAAAATTAAAAGTTCACCTCGTGGACAGGGTCCTTTGGTAAGTTTAGAGTAACACTTGTTATCTCTTGGCCAATAAACGTCCCCAATTTTCGAACAACTTTCTGGTTCTCGACAGATACCCCAACGTCGTTTAGAATTGAGACTATTAAACCGATAAAAAAGACAATCAAAAACTGTACATAATAAAAAAGGAAATACGAATCACCTTCGTTAGAATCGACAGATTATACTGACCTAGTTTTAGCATGAATTTCTGGAACTGGTGCAAAGTATTGTCCTCTTGGGCAAGAAGATCTTGTAAATATTGGATAACAAAGTGCATCTCTTGGAGATTGTGCTGTCCCTGGTGGACATCTGCATTCTGCTATCGTTCCAGCACCTCCTGCAGCTGGACCCAATTCCATTGTCTCGGGACAGGGTGCTCCAATCTGATCGACACATTTTGTTATAAATTTCATCTACCTTTTCTTTTATTAAAAGATAAACACAGGATACAACAAATTGATACTAACTTGAAATATTTTATAACATTTCCCATCGGGTGGCCAGTATAATAATTGCCATCCACGTGGTTGTAGGGCACAGGGATTGTTAAGTGGATCTGCCCAAGGTGGTGGCATTATCACTGCTTTAATATTTATTATTGTGATGCACAAAATAATAATCTTCAATAGATTTTTCATCCTGCTAAAAAAGAAATATGAAATATTCGGGATTATTATAATTTGATTAGATGATTAAATGATCTAATGTAAGATGAAATGAGGGCAGGGGGGGGGAAAAACAAAGGATGTAAAATTAAATAGTAAAAATAAAATCAAATGATTCTACTTTCACCGATTCGCTATGGCAATGGCATTGTCCTTCGTAGGCAGAGCACAGATAAAGAATATGCTTACAGAATGAGAATAACATTTCGTTTCTTCGTTTTAAATGCTTTTTATGTCACGGACACAACACGTACGAAATCTTTTCAAAATACCTAATCAAAATGTACTTTCATTTTTACGATACAATTTCATTCTTTTTTATTTTTCATTAATAAATATATGATTTTATTTATTATTATTATTATTTTTTTTAAATACATTTTCGCGTGTGCATCATTCGCGTTTTGTTCGGTAAAAATTTGATGACATCTTCTCTTTTCTTTTCTTTTTATTTTTCTTTTAATTTACTCGTGTATCAAAACACGAATAAATAACAACATTTTTACGAGAATGGAAATAAAAAAAAGGAAGATTCGTAAAAATGTGCATATATATTTGGGGTACTATCATAAATCATTATTATTACATAATCATCTAATTGGTTGTTACCGTTCAAGTTTGTGAAGCGCTTCAATCTTACATCACAACTTTCACATTCGTGGTATTTTAAATCGTAAGATGTTACGATAAAAAACTACTTTGTTTAATAGATTAACGAATCAAAAAAAAAATTACAAGCATTAATTATTATAATATTATTTAATTATTATCGTACAAATTGTCATATATTTATTTATTTCTTTTTTTTTTTTTACAATTAGATCGCGATACACGAAACCAAAATTTTATTTTACTTCTTGATCCGAGATCGAAAAAAGAAAATAAAAAAATCAAAAACGAAATAATAATAGTAGAAGAAAGTATAGAATACATTCCCATGGAAACAAGAGTGTATTTTTCGAAAATGTCGGCTACAAAAATATGATATTAAATTAATCGTATGCGCGAGACAGACACTTCGTGCGAATTGAAACCCAAAAGAAAAAGAAAAAAAAGAGAGAGAAAAAAAATGTCCAATTAACACGATCAACGATGAAGAAGATTTCAAGTACTGTTAATCGATAAAAAAAAAAAAAAAAATAATAAGTTATCACAAGTTATGGATCCTTGTTGCATCGTGTGTCCTCATTGTTTTTTACCACGTGCGGAATACATTCAGTATAGGTACGAAGTTATAATTAAAGGACAAACAGAACGAAACAATAAAAATATAACAAGGATTTTATTATTATATATCGCAAAAACTGGACACACATGCACACGCGTACGCACACTCTCTCTCGTTGGTTTTATTTTTTATTTTTAAATGTACACGTGATTATATAAAGAGAGATAATATTCTATGCAAGAAATAATCCTCCCTCTTCCCCCCTGATGAGATTATTATCTAGCTGGTTGTAGGAAATTAAATTAAAAAAAAAAAGAAGAAGAAGAAGAAAGTAACCAACTTGTAATATAATTTGTACAACAAACTTATTCTTTCTTTTTCTTTTTTTTTTATCTAATCAAAATTGCATTAAATATTATATTATTAACTTACGTATCCTATAATCGATCCACGTGTGTGTGCGAAGGAATAAAAAATATTTGTGATCTCTGTTGTAAGTAAATTTATATTTCATATAATATTGTTCATATCTCTCTTTCACGATAAAACACAATTCAAAATACGGTGGAGTGTGGGTGGGGTGGGGGGTGGGTTGGTTATTGGGATAATATAAATTTCAAACGAAATGAATTGATTAATTTTGTTTGTACGATTTAACGATCGACATCGTAGATTAATATTTAAAAAAAGAAAAAAACAAAGAAAAAATAGAATGACGATTACGATGACGATGATTAAAAGTAAAGAAAAGCTTATGGGGGGTTCTTGCCGGCCCGGAGACCGCGTTCAGACTGAAACTGAACGTGGAATTCCGTGATATTCGTTTGACTCTGCTTGTATTTCTTCTTTAGCCATTGCACAGTTACCTAACTCGTTCGTTACTTTGGAAACAAGATATATATATATATATATATATATCCAATTTAGTGTGTGTGTGTGTGTGTGTGTGAGAGAGGGTGGGTGGATTGATTATTATGTCTTTTTCTATACAAGAATTCTTCGTCATTTCGTTTGTGAATCTTTGCATTTCTAAACTGGAAAAACCACCACCTCGTTCACGAATGGAATGTATACTGAATCAGAATCCGCATTCTCTTTTACACCTTCATTGTTAATCCCAATTGCACTTTCACGGTATCTTAACATGACAATGAATGAATGAATGAATGAATGAATGAATGAGTTGTTGAATTTATGCATCTCATCAAAGACATTTGTTTATCAATTGATATTGTTTCAAAATTAAAAGAAAAATCGAAAGAAAATATTGAAATTGAAATTGCAAATGAAATTCTATTTAGAAACCTAAGCAAAGGGGTATAGATAAATGATCGGGGGGGGGAGGGATCAAAAAACAAAAATGAAATCATCATCATCATTTTCACAAGGTATCTCGTAACTTTTTATATTGCACATTACGAATACCATAAAGAGTAATATTACAACATAGGTATTCCCTATAAGAAATCATTCTTATAATTCGTAAAAGGTAACAACACGGTTGGTGCTCTCGATTAGAAAAGTAGCCTTGGATGATGATGATGATGATGATATTCGATCGAAAATATTCATTTTAATGCTTTCGTTATTTATTTTTTTTTTATTACTATTATTATTTAATATTGATGCAATACACCGTTCGATAGGAATTCGTAGACGATTGTAACGGTTCGATAAGAGGATGAAATTACATGGGATTCTTTTACTTCTTCTTTCCTTTCCCCTCCCTTTACCCCTTTACCTCGCCACTATTACCTTGTCGTTCTAAGTTAGAAGATTAAAACGGTTCTTTCTTATGCAGCTTCTCTTAGCCCTAAAACACGCGTCAAGTGGGTTTCGTGGAACCGTGCAATGCCCTTTGCTTATAACGGTACGCTGATGTAAGAAATAAAGAAGAAAAAAAAAAAGAAAAGAAAAGAATGAAAGGTTTCTGAAGGGTCTCTCTCCCTTTCGTGATGATTTTGACATAAAAGAAGAGAGAGATCATCACCACCGCACGTGTGTGAAGATCTTCACGCATTTTTTTTATTCTTATCTGAATAATAAGAAATACCAAGAAGAAAAAATGAGGAGCGTGATGGTGTATTGAAATGTGTTCAGGCCGATGCACTCTCTCGTTCTTGGTGAACAGTCAACAACCATTGAATATGACTGGTTGGTTTGTTGCTTGCTAGATAAATTATTGTATTATTTTATAATGCAAAATGTTTTTATCCATTTCTATAGTTGATTTGAAAAATGAGTTTGTTAGTTAGTTTGTTGGATAGATATAGAATGAAAAAATTGATGGTTTATAAATGTGAAAGGTTTTTTCAATCCTATGTATACAGTTTCAAAGAAATAACTCTTTGCTATCGAACGAGAATGAAAGTATATTTTATACGTTTCCTCTCAAGGACAGAAACTAACGGGACGATACGATCTTCTCTTCTAATAACTTTCGTTCTTTATGTTGGTTTTTATCTTTATCCTTGCTCTGGCATCATCATCATCATCATCATCATCATCATCATCATCATCATCATCATCATCATCATCATCTTCTATCTATCTATATTTTTTGATTATTTCTTTGTCAATTTGTATTAAATGTTATTTTAAGAATTATTATATTACATTCTTTTATACAAATTTGATTTTAAAACACCATACGCGTATCGTACTAAAGTTAAACGTTAAATGGGGAATAATCTTGGGTAGATCTTTCAACGAGACTCATTTAAATTCATCATGCACTCTCGTCTCGCGTTAACTCTGAACGTGAACTTGAAGAAGGGGGAAACCTCTAACCGATTTTTCATTCCTTCATATAGTCGTTCGTTTAAAATCAAAATAAATGCATCGTTGAGTATTTCACGGATTATATCTTTGTTATCTTTGAATGAAAAGTATATAATGAAAATATTACAAATTGTTTTCTTAAAGTAAAGGTGGGTGGGTGGGTGGTTGGATGTGGTGGTCATACCATTAATAATTGTTATGATTAAATTACGTAATAATATAAAAGAAAATTGAATTTCTAATTGATTTTTTATGGTGGGATAAAACGTTAAGAGACATTTATAGTAATTACCGGATATATCAGGAAAGTGGCGTTGTTCATAACGTTTGATACTTTCCCCACGTGGTGGTATATGCATTATTTTTCTTTCTATTTATTTATTCATATTTATTCATTTATTTTTATTTAATTCTACCATCTATAAGATAACACCTCTCATACTAACTTTCTTTTTGAATAGAAGTATTCAATGTAACTCTATTTCTAAACTTTTCCTCTCTTTCTTTCTTTCTGCTTTATAAGTGTGTGTGTGTTTAAGTTGTGTCAACACGATAGAATTTAAAAATGACCGTAAATGTGCAAAATATTTCAACTAGTTTTGAAAGATCAACTCTCAGTTTTCACTTTCGCCCATGACGAGATGCGTAATTCACGATTTTAGATTAAAATGGACCTGTGCGAGGTGAGTGTAAAGGAAGCTGTAGGTTTGCTTGTAACAGAAAACAAGAACAAGAAAGACGACGACTACGACGATACGAGAGAAAGTATCTTTTTAACGTTCTTGATGAAATCTCTCGCCTTCTTTTACCTTTTTTTTTTTCATATATATATTTTTTTCCTTTATATATATCTTATTGCAATCATCGTTACGATTACGCAAGTATCTTTTCGCAGGACTCGCATAATACAATAAGAATTTCGATCAAACGTGATTTTATTTTATTTTTATACTGAATTAACTAGCTAATAATTTGCAAATCAATTTGCTATACAAATTTTGTGGAATATATTATAATATTAAAATAATATTTTTATATTATAATTTCTAAACTAATGATGTATATTGCAATGCAAAGAATTTAATTTACAAATATATATATATATATATATAAATCCAAGTACGTATATTATTGTTACAAACGTATAATCTTTTTTTTTTTTTTAGAAATGATCATCTATGACAATGTTGAATAATTAAAGTCAATTAAGTATTTCATTCATTAGAATCAATCTACCGAATTGCCCTTGTCCCTATTTCGTGAACGTTGCACAGTTACGAAACAAAAAATTACGTGATGATTATCGTACGCGAAAACGAGACAGGAATTTTAAAAAATAATGTCATGGGATTTGTCTCTGTGTGTATATTAACTTGTTAATAGTCTACTTTAAATATGTTTGAATTATTTTCTTTGTTCTTTTTTTTACAGAATATGCATCGACCAAAGCGCGGAATACGAACGTCAATTCAGATCTCTTCAAATTGAGGTGAAAAATTGTCAAAGACAATTGGATACTTGCAACAACGATCGTGAAAATGCTATACAAGAGAATCGTCGTTTGCAGGACGATTTAGCAGCTGTTATGTGCGAGGTAAGAAATCTTCAACACGAATTGGAATCCTCGCGTGCCGAATCCTACGATTTGAAGAGACAATTGCAAACTTATGTTAGCGAAGTACGACGTGCTGAAGAAATGTTGAACAGAAAGGTAAACACGTTCAAATAGATAAATCGTTTCTTATTTTTTTCTTTGTATTTTTAACATATCTAATAAATTATTAATTTAATTCTATCAATATATTAACAGGAAAACGAAAGAACGGAGATGTTGAATCATTTCAGAAGTTTAAGCTTGGAAGCCACGGTATTGGAAAATAACAATCACAGTTTGGAATCGGAAGCTGCAGAAGCAAGAGGAGCACTTCAAACGGCTAGAGATCGTTTGATAGATTTAGAAAGACAATTAGTCGATAAGGATTGTTTGATTAGAGGCTACGAGACACAGGTATACATGTTTTACGTTATTACATATTACAACAAATCCGTAAAACATATTCTAACAAGGATTCCATACGATTCTTGTTAACACCGATATTTTTTAATTCGTAAACTTTCTTGTATAACAGTTGGTTGAAAAGTTGATCTTTACAACTGAGTAGTTCAAAAAATATTGGTGGTCAAGGTTGTATGGAAAACTATTGTAAAATAATTATCTTTATACGAGATTGATGTTTTTCTTTTTTTATTTAGATAAGTGAATTAACGCAAAGCGTTGCTAGCATGGAAACACAGTTACGGCAACAAACAGATCAGAGACAGAGAGCAGAAGCTGATTTGAGTGCAGTAAGGGACTTATGTATTAAAATGGATCAACAAAAGGATTCGCTTATGCAACAACTTGAAGATAAAGATATGATGAAAGCACAGGTGACGATATTTCTTTTACAAATGTATTGATACGATTAATTAATTAATTTTTGTTTGAGAAATGCGGAGGTGATGCATCATAGTTTGTTAAACATTAACAGAATTATTTAGAATATTCCCTACTATACTTGTTTAGTATGTTTTCATGAAAAATTTCTTAATATTGTTTGATTGTTTAGTACGACACGCAGTTGGTAAGATTGAGAACCGAACAGGGTGTTATCCAAGATCAAATGGATAGAGATCGTGCAACGATCGAACGTTTAGAAGCTTTATTGGATCAAGCAAGACAGGAATCTATTAAAGTTCAAACAACAAATCAAGAATTGCAGAATGAAATGTCGAGACTTAAACAGAAGATATCTGAACTTCAAACAACTTTGTAAGAATTCCTTTCGATCGATAAATCGAATTAAATTCATTCTTTTCAATGTAATTACATTATGTATCTATTTTAAAATTTAGATCTAACGAGTCTTTAGAACTTAGACAGTATCAAACTCAAGCTGCCGAGTACAGCAAACAAATCAGCGAGCTTCGTAGACAAGTTACAAACGAAAGATTTGATCGCGCTAAAAAAGATGAAGAAAATCGCAGGTATTTCTATTTATATTATAATAAACATATAAAAGAATTTTATTTCATTAGTTTGACGGTCTCGTATGATACGTTTAACGTGTCAAAGAATGTTAAGAAAAATCATTTAATTTTGTGTACTAATATTTTGTTATGTTTTTCTTTTTATTTTATTTTTTTTCCTCTCTTTACAGATCATTCAATTCGTCGCCAGATAGTTTTAACGTAGACTTAAACGTGGTCATATAAGAAATAAAATTTAATATATAATAAATCTATATATATATATATATATTCGTTGATAGATGTTTGAGTGAAGAAAAAGTGAAGGAATGTGGTTGCCGTACACCGTCATCTAAGGCAATCAATTTAGAAGCAAGAATATCGCCAGGAATATCGAGTAAAGAATACATGAATTCGGGTATTTGCAATTACTCAGAAAATAATAATAATAATAATACAATTTGGCCTTGAAACAATTGACTTATGAGAAGTACATATTGATAATGCATATATACGAATACTCCAACAATTTTATTATTGCTATCTAGATGGTGGGAATGAATCCACAGCTAAAATTCGAGTAGATTTACCTGAGAAGATGATTTTGACCGATGACGTTACGATGGTAAAGAATATAAAATGCAAATACAGAATTTTATTAGAATATCTGTAATAATATTATATATATATATATTACATAGATTTTCTTTTATTTATAAAGCAGGAACCAATTGTTGCGTCTACACCTAAAAAGTATATGAAAAAGAGTTATTCTATTTCTTGTTGTATGAACAATCTCTCACAGGATACGGCGAATGTTAAAACTGTGATTAATGAATCGCCAGATCAGAATATTATATCATTTCAATTATCGAAGCATTCTCTTAACGAATTCTGCGATAACAATCCTAATTGTTTGCAATTTACAACGTGTCGATGTACAAGCACACAGTATATGGAAATTTATGATGAATCTTTTATAATATCAGGTCAACGTCAATTGTTCAATGAATTAGAAATGCCTGAGAATATTGTTCCTTGTGCAGTAAGAAATGATTCAACAAATGATAATCTAGAGAAACCTGCAAAATCTATACTTAATATTTATGATAAATTCAATAAGAATATTACTAACGATATGAACGATACAATTCGAGGTCTATACGTTAGAAATATAACTGAATTATTAGGTGATAATAATAATAATAATAGCGTTTCGTATCAGGATAGAAATTGGAAATGTTATTCTCCAATTATAAATGAGGATTCGAAACGTCCCGAAGAATATTTCAAGTTGGATTCTTTACCTGATACAAAACTAATATCACCTGGCATAAGAAAGGTTCCTACGAATATGGAAACTAAACGAATACCATCATACAAACATAAAAAATGTAAATGTGTGTACAAGAATAAAAATTACAAATATTTGAGCGACACTATTACAAAATCGATCGCAAAATATTCAGATATAAATGAATGTTATGAAATAAATTCACAGGAAGTTCGTAAAAGTAATCAGAATTTGTCGGACAATATATGGAAAGAAAAAACGAGAGATCCTGATGGTTTTATATCACTAGATACGATAATGAATAATGATTTACCAAATAATAATAAGTATAGTCAAGATGATACCATAGTAATAGCATTTTCCAAGCCTAAATTTACTCAAGTTTTATCAGAGATAAAGGAACATACAAGGAGTTTAGAAAAACAAATTGAAAGTATAAATAATATTATACAAAATATAACTGTTTTATCAGAAGAAGCTGCTCCTTTATCGTCGAGAAGACAAAATCTGCCAGTATTTTATGAAAATATATCTAGACTTACAAATGGATCGCAAACCGAAGAATTCGTCGACATAAATAATAATAATAATAATAATAATGAACAAATAATAGAAAATAATTGGTGTAAATGTATAAAGAAACGACATGCACTTTCAACGTCATCGTTAATAAAATCTTCCGCCTGTCAAAACCCGATTGCCACGTTTTTGGATGAAAAATTAATAAAACAAGATGACGATAACGTTGTCCGTTTTACACGAGAACAACAACGTCCAGAATTAAAAGAAAATTTATCGCATGTAGTAGAAGAAATGAAAGAACAAAAACTTTCAAGTAAAGAAATAAAAAAGCAAAAAGAACCTGACCAAATGAATCCTGAAAAAAGTGCACCTTATAAGAATGACGAATTAGAACGAGTACCTTATTTGCATAAAAAACAACCTAAGTCGTTCATTAGAAAAGATAAAGTTAAATCGAAAACTAAAGACAATTATTGCGATCAGCCAAATTATAACACTGCCACCATTCCGTACAATTCCACGACGAAGAAGACTAAAGTATCTAATGACGATACGATTTATGATTTATATTTACAAACTACATTTACACAATCGTCCAATTTTCAAATAGTTGCTGCCACTTCAATATCGTCTATTAAATTAAATTTAAATAGCACAGGAAGTAATGATGATCTCGTTAAAGTAAAAAAGAAATCTAAACTTTCGGTTGACGGAAAGACCGAAGATAAAATTAATAACAAAGTTCCTTTTCCTGATAGATTAGAAGATAATTCTACAACGAAAAACAATTTAAATCCATCTATTTCTATTCAATGTATAACTATAAGTAATTCGTCCATAAACTGCAACGTAGCTGATTCACGAACTAAAGAAATTCAAAATAATTATTTACGTGATAATGTTAATCAGAAGAAAGTAATTAAAAGTAATAAAAAGAGTAATAAATTTAAATTTAGGAAAAGTTAAGATTTCTGCTTGCATCAAACTATAATATTAATAATAATAATAATAATAATAATAATTAATAGTAGTAATAATAAAAAATAGACGAACACGCCTTTCGCTTTATTTGGAATAAAGCAACTATAATACAACTAATTATCAATCTATCGATCAGCAATATAGAAAGTATAATTTATTATACAAAATATATCAAATTAAAAAATTACTCTAACATATAATTCCTATCGTAAGAATTAACAAGATGATTCTCAAAAGTTAGATTCACAGATAATTCCATTTAAACATAGTAGAATAATAATATAGGATAATCTTCGAAAATAAACTAAATGCAGACTTAAAACATTCCGCTTAAAAATAATGATTTTAAAAAAAAAAAAAAAAAGAAAAAATACCGTCCAATCTCACCATAGTTCTCTAATCGCAAATCCTAGATAAAAATGTTAAATAAAATAATGAAATATATTCTCCACGGATGCAAGCGTTCGCTAAATATAAAAATACTCATCAACGAAGAAAAAACTATTCATAGTGTTCATAGGATTATAAGAAGGACTACCTTTTTAAATATAATTATAATTGTAAAACTGAACTGATATTTAAATAAATGCCATATTATGTTCAATTAGTTTAAACTTGTCAATTTAAATGCATCGTTTAATTCTTTTCTCTTACATGCTTTAGAAAACATAAATAATAAGAAAAAAAAAGAAAAAAAAAAAGAAAACGAAGTATATACCATTGATTTTTTAATAGCACGTTTAAAAAAACTAACAATAACTTAAATGCTTCTTATTTATTCTTTCCACAGAGTCATTTTTGTTTCCATCGACATTTGTATATATACATTTTTCGCACATTTGGGAAAAAGTAGAGGTAATTTTACTTAGATTTTTGTTGAAATTTTAAAAAATTAACACAAAAGCACATGAAAAATATACGATATAATTATTGTATTTAAAGTTGTTTTTTTTTCCTTTCTTTCTTTTCTTTTCTTTTCTTTTTAATAGTATAATATCGCCATTAATTGGCAATACCTGGCAATATAGTACGATAATCAGGATACTCATATCATAATCGCCCAACTATCAATATTTTTCGCTCAATAATAATTAATTACTAATACGCTATTAACACATCCGTACAATACGATGGCAGAACGAATATCATAGAAAATATCCGTTCATTCATTCATTTTTCTTTTAATATATATATATACCTTTTTTTTTTCTTCTTTTCCCCATATCATCATACTTATTTGTTACATGAACCTTTCATTCTTTTACACAATTGTCGTTTATTGATTTATGATCATCGATGATCTCTGTATCAAATGAAATAATATAAACTAAATTAATTACAAATAATAAAATTAAAAAAAAAAAAAATAAGCCTCTGATAAGATTTTCATCCTCCTTTAACGTGATCATCATCAGCTATTAAATTTAGCTGTAGTAGCTTTTATATTTTCTTTTTCTTTAAAATTTATATATTTATATATTTATATGTATAAAATACATAATAGAGGCTCACGTAAGGTCCATTATTATAATAGTTATTATTTGTAATTATTCTTAATGAGCTGATTTTTTGTTTTGTTTAATAATAATACCGCGATCCAGCATTATTCGTAACATTTTAGCTATTACTGCTGCTTGCTGCTGCTTCTTTGCTGAATTCAATGAGTAATTACAAAAATCCTCCATCATCACCATCACCATCCCCTCTTTTTTTTTGCAACTTCTACGTCTTGTCATAATCTATTTTATAGTACAATAGTATTATTCTATTTTATTTTATTTTAATTCTTTTTTTTGTTTTTTGCTTTCCATACTTCGCTCCTCGAACGCTTTCATTTAAACCTTACAACATTATTTTTTTCTTTTTTCGTTTGAAGAAATTTATACACAGACGCCTTAACATCATTATGAATGAAATACAAGTATTATTATTATTTTATTATTATTATTATTATTATTAATAATTATTAATTATTAATTATTATAATAATTATTTACAGTTTATGTATATATTTTATATTATATGTATAAGTTCGAATATTATTAGCTTAATTTAATACGCAAAATGTCACTGGTGTCCTTAAGACGACGATCGAGAAACGATAACGTAAATGCAATCCCTATTGCGAAAGTTTGAAAGATGTTTCGATTAATCATTAAATTTGCTGAACGCTTGCGAAAAAGAAAAAGAGAAATAAAAATAAAAAAATAATAAAAAATATAATAAAAGACGACACACCTTCTTTAAACACAAAATTACATTTTTAATGCACCAAAGAACCGAGTTTTATAATTTCATTTATTTCTTCATTCAGAGATTTTTCAACATTTTAATTTTACCAATAAAAATTTGAGTGGGTTTTTTTAATTTCTTTTTGTTTGCTTTTTATGGCATTTAATCTTTACATCCTATATAATACAATAAGTGTTTTAGAAACACAATATTAATAATATATTTCATTTACGCGAAAAATCAATTATATAAAAATTCCTTTAAAAAATAATAAAAAAAAAAAACTACCTTTGTCATTGCGCTTTTCTTTCTTTCTTTCCTCCTTAATTAAATTAACGAACAATTATTACATCCATTAAAAGTCTATACGTAAACTTTTGCACATTTTTTTTTCTTGCTTTTGTTTGTTTGTTTGTTTGCTTGCTTTTCCTTTCTTTTCTTTTCTTTTTTATTTATTTCGAGCGAAAACAAATCAAAGATATGTTGATTAGACATTTATATACATTGTGCATGGAACTTTGTATCTTACAAACTACATTTGCTCAAGCCTTCAGATTAAAAAATAGAAATATAATCATAATTCATTAAAAAAAAGAAAAAGAAAAAAAAATGATAAGGAACTGACATGATTATAATGAGTAGTTCGACATTGTTAGGCCCTATATGTTGCATGTGAGTGTGTATTTGTGGGATGTGTAATACGTGTTTTTTTTTTTTATACATATAAAGCATTCAACTCTTTCGTAAATCTACGTAAAAAAAAAACTTAATCATAGTTTTGCACGGTTCGTATAAATAATTTAACGTAAAGAAAAATATTACATCGTTAATAGAGATTACCTAATGACAAGGTTGCAACGCGAAAAAAGAAATAATATATAAAATAAAATAGAAAAATAATGACACAATTAACATGAAAATTGGGAAAAATTTCCAAGATATATAAAGTGTTAAGATGATCTAAAACTAGACATTGATATATTCTCGTGCGTACGTGTGCTATAAATTTTGTATTTTTTTTCCTTACTAACATTTGAACTTAACATTTTTAATAATTATTCAATAATAAAAGAAAAAGAGAAAGAGAGACAGATAATAATATTAATAGCCATTTAACAATTGCAGGATGATGACGCGTATGTGTGTGTATGTGTAATAATCATAAGCAAAATAACAATTTTTAAAGAGAAGATAGAAATAGAGAAAGAGAGAGAGATAGATAGAGAGAAATAGAAATAGAAAAAGAGAGAGAAACATATTTGATAAAAAGATAAATTTTATACATTCTAGGTTCTTGGTGGCTTATGAAAAAACATACAATAATATTAATTAATAATTGTGTATAATAATATTGATTACAATTAACTATTAACGTCCGTAAAGTATTTTTTCTTCGACATTTTTGTTTGTTTCATTCATTTTTTGTTATCTTTTCTTTTTGTTATTTTTTCTTATCATTTTTCTTTTGTACACGTTTACTAAAAACATTCGTCTCGCAATCTTGTGTTGAGAAAATAAATATTAATATTAAATTTGAAATCTTATTTCGTTCATTATCACTTAAAGAGTTTTCCTTCTGAATCACCACCTTATCATCTTTAATTACTGTCTGTTTTTTTCGTGTCACTACTAGTTTAATATAGTTCGTTATTAATTATGATCTAAATTGGCAAATTTATTATTTGCTTAATAAGTCGATAGGCCTCTTTTTTATATATGGAACATTATCATTCTTCTTATTTCTTCTTCTTTTCTTCATTTTTCTTCTTCTTCTTCTTCCGGTTTCTTATTTAGATTATTATTATTATTAATATTATTATTATTATTATTATTATTATTAATATTATTATGCACAAAAAGACACAATCCGAAATTGGTGTTTCTTTAAAAAATCCTTACTACTTTAAAGAAACAACTTTCCCACATCACTGCGCGCACGTATATGCATGCGTACGTTGTGTTGTGTGATTTCCATGAACAAGACGAGTTTAGAAAATTAATCACCAAGTCGATCGCTGCTCAGAAAGTTTATTTTATTTTTTTTGTATGAGTTTAGAGGCCTGCATCAAGAGGTCACCTATGACTACTACTGCTCTGATCATTCATGTCGTATAAGACTTGTGCGATCGTCCTTGATGATTCAACGTTACTTAATGCCACACCTGCCAAATGAGGTTCATATGCTCTAAGATGCCTGAAACAAAATGATAATTTAGTTATATTATCATTTCTAAAAACAAAAAAGAAAAAACAAAAAAATGGGTTGTCACTGTATAGTTTAAAACATTTCCTTACCTTCTACCATGCGTTGAGTATATGACTAGGTTTCTGAGAATAAGAGCTGCCGTCAGGCGAATACTTTTGGTCACTGGACCTTCGTTGTCATCCTGTAAAGAAAATTCAAATAGAATTTCGTTAATATTATTTTATAAAAATTTTCATTCAAAACAACGTACAAGATTTAGAACAATGAAGCACACTGTGTTATATATAGCGCTGAAGTATGTACTTCTTGTTGCATGTATTTTTTTTTTCTTTTCTAAAACTACATACATATTTATAAAACAACACACAACAAAAAAGAAAATAATAAAAATTAAATGAAAGCATGCAACGTTTTATATTTCAGCGTTATACATAATTAAACATATTACGATGCTATTACAGTATATTTGTACGAAACATTAGTTATTGCCATGCTTTTTATTACAACACAATGATTATATTATTAATTGATATAATTATTAGCTTTTACTTCATCAATATTTTATTATCCTTTCAAAAACTGATGCCAAAACAATACACATAATATTCTTCTCGGACTACTACATTTACGAATACATGAAGGAATGATGATCGATCTAAAAATAATCAACCCCTAACACGTTGATCGCCACAGGTAAATCGAGCAATGTTTCGTGGCGATAAACGTGTTAAAATTCATTTCAAATTGTCAACTCCCCTAAATGGAAACTTTAATAATAATAATAATAAGCAGCAATTGCAATGATTAAAAAAATGCGTATGTATAAAAAATGTACCAGCACCTAACAGAAGATGGACAAAATATCACTTGGAAAACAAATAAACAATAATAATAATAATAATAATAATAATGCTAACTACGAAATGAAAACGAAATAAAAAACCATGCTCATATAATACTCTGGATATGATAAACAGTAAGGAATATATATATATGTATATGTTGTATAAAAAATCAAAATGGTGCGAAAAAACAAAGAAGATATATGTAAAGCACAAGTATGTAATAATACGAGCAGCACACGAGAGCTGTGGCTGTATCATGGCTCCAAAATCTTCCAATCTTTACCTGTTCTGGTGGAGGGTTTTGCCCAGGTCTGGGAGAAGAAGAGCTTGAAGTGGCTGCAGCGGGCTTGGTTGGCCTCTGCTGCTTTGCCAGTAGAACAAGAAACTCAGTTAAGTTTTATGATATCAACAAATTTCATTGAAGATTTGTGGATATTAAAAGCACACACACACACTTCTTTAAAGTGGCGTTTTATATTTAAGAAATTAAAAACCCTAAATGACAATTACGAACTCTCCATAATCTCTGTTGTCGTTTCTATCTTTCCTATCGAACTGCATAAATAATTCGCAATTGAATTATTATTGCATATAAACGGAAACGTAGTTTCTGAAGAATGAAAAGTTCTATTCTCGAGTCTCACTAATAATTAATTGGTTGTTATTATTATTGTAAACGCAGAACTTTGTGTCGGTTTATAAATTACGTTAAATATTATTAGAATATTTATTTATAATATAATGCAGCTTACCATCAATTCCTTAGGATTTACGAATTCCAATGCATGTCTTTTAATGGCGTGGAATGCTGCATTTGGTGCATACCCGGGATGATGAGGCGTCGGTGGTGTAGATGTTGATACTTCAGTTTTTCCAGTTAAGGTCAATTGTTTCCTTCTAGTGCTCATTGACTGAGAAAATTTTATATAAATAATTTCAAATGTTATATACACATATAAAATTATATGTTAAATATAATTGATCCACAGTTGTGACTTACATCTGAATTACAGTGCCTATCGAATAAATGCGTCATTAAAGAAAATCTACGTCTCTTTAAAGCATCGCAACTGCCCCATAAGCACAATATTTCTTCCTCGCCAGCAGGACAATGAATTTCACAGACATGAAGGAAAACCTCATGGGGAGTTTTAAATTGCCTATGGGAGAATATATACGTGAAATTACTTTTAGAATCGAGTATGCATAAGATAATAAAATGTAAGGAGGGAAAAAGATAAATTACCTTAGACAACCTCGCCATTCGCAGAGATACGCATTAGGATCTATTTTGATGGTAATAGTTTTGCTCTCGGGTGGAATTTGACTCGTCGAAGGTTTCGATTCTGGTTCTGTCGAGGTCGACGAACTTACAGTTTTGATAGCCTTAACTGGTGGCTTAACTGGAAGTCCATGCGTTGCAGCCGCTTGATGAGGCGTAGTTGGTCTTGTTGGTGGCGGTGTCGAAGCAGGTGTTGGAGTTACTACCCTCGATGGTACACTAGTAGACACTGGATTCTGTTGAGCCATCGCGGGTATCGTAACTGTTACAGTATTTGGATTAGTTTGTGCTACCGAACTATTAACTATTATGGAAGTCTGTGGAATAGTGGCTGACGTAGGTACCAACGGAGGAGGAATATTACCAAGAGCTGGACTTTGTAGAATAGGACGCGGAACTTGAGTTACGACAACTTGTTGTCCTTGGGGCGTAACAGCTACCATTTTCTGCGGCGTTGTTTGAGGAGCAGCTTGAGGCTGCAATATTATAATGGTTTTAGTCCCAGTCCCTTGTTGTTGAGTTGTCTGAGCAACGAGAACCGTCTGTGCTTGCCCTTGTACTAATGCTGTTTGCGGTTGAGCTAACACATAGTTTTGTCCAGGAACACCACCGGATACAACATATTGCAGTTGCCCTCCCGCACTTTGTTGCAACAAAACTTGTGGCTGTGCTTGTGCCTGTCTTCCTTTGACAGACGCAGCAGGAATTATAACTTGATTGTTCGATTGGATCGTCTGTTGAACGACTATTTGTCGTGGAGTAGCTACTATTAACTGTTGTTGTGGCTGGTGATGTTGCTGTTGTGGCTGGTGATGTTGCTGTTGTTGCTGTGGTTGTTGATGATGCTGATGATGCTGATGTTGGTGTTGATGCTGATGCTGATGTTGATGCTGATGATGGTGGTGATGATGTTGCTGTTGCTGCTGCTGATGTTGATGGTGTTGTTGTTGTTGCTGCTGTTGTTGTTGTTGCTGCTGCTGCTGCTGTTGTTGTTGGTGTTGTTGCTGCTGCTGCTGTTGGTGTTGTTGACTAATTTGATTAATAAATATGTGAGGTTCTTCTTTCACGATTGGAGGAGGAGGAGGAGGCTCCTCCTTAACAATAGTTATTTGTTCTTCAAGATCAGTTTCATCTTCTATGCAATCAGCAGCAAGAGCTGCATAAAGGTTAGCAGCAGTAGAGGAAACTGTAGCTTTCTCACTATCCTTGTCATCTTCCTGTTCTTCCGATTTGATACTCGACATCGTAGATTCGACGGTGGTTGAATCAACGGCATGATCAGGCGACGTTGTGCCATTAGAATATTTTAATTTTTTCGTATCTACTATCTCATCGGAATCGCTAGCTTCTCTTTTAATTCCTCTCAGAGTTTCGATTAACGTATCCTCGGTTACATCGGTTTGCATCGTATCACTTTCTGGTAATTCCTTTTTAATTTTAATATCAGTTGGAGATTCTTTTAATACCTTTTTAATATGATTTTCAACTAGATCCATTCCCTTTTCGTTGATTGAATTCTTTCCGAGAACTCCGTTCAAAATAGGCTCCTTGTCAACCACCTTCCTCTCTAACAAATCAGCCAACATCATACTCTGCAATGGTTTTTCCTTCGAACTTACACTAGACGAATCTTTGGATGATCCATCGTCTTGTGCATTAATATCTATATTAGTTGGTGCACCATTTAGAAGTATTCCTTCGAAACTCGTCAAAGAATTATCTTCTTCGACACCAACACCGGAAAAATCTCTACTACCACCAATACCACTACTAGAAGCCAAAGAATTGTTCGTTGAATCGGAATCTTCGGCAATTGAAGTACACGTACTTCGTTGATTGGATTTGTTTGTAGCACCACCAATTGTGGTAGAACTCGGTGGCTGACAAACCTTTACAATTGAGGATATGTGATTCTCAGTCGAATTCAATATTACCGTAGTTGACGTTACGATTTGGTTCACGCTCTCATTTACATCGTTTACTTCAGTCTGTGAAACAATATATTATTTATAGATAAGATGCAAAAACATATATAATAAAATAAAGTGGATCATCCTCTTACCTTCTCACAATTGTTAGTCATAATAAATTTAGCTCCATTAAGTCTCTGGATTTTTTTGGCAGGAATAGATGCAATAATTTGTTTTTGTTTTGAGTTAACAGAAGCCTTAGGGAGTATTGTTGCTGGGGTTGCTGCAGGAGCTGCAGGCTGTACCACGCCTGTTAACTGCTGTTGCAGTAACCTTTGTTGTTGTTGACGTTGTGCAACCTATTGAAATGGAATCATCGTTAGCAAAAACATTTATCAATTTTTCTAAAAATGAATTATATAGTCCTAATTTCATATATATATCAATTTATCTTTGATCAATATAATTCATATTTATATGTTCATATTTTGTCACTTTAAATTCATGATTATTTGATTTTTTTAACATCATCATGCTGTTTGTTAGTATTCTTTTTATTATCATTGTCTTATTTTATTGGACAAAAACTCACTCTGTTAAAAGATCATTAATGACCTACTTATTTTATATTTGTCAAGTAGGAAAAGGATAGGAATTTTTGGAGAGAGTTTACATTTCTAAAAAAAAAAAAAGGAGATATAAAAAAAAAATATTAACGTCACGATAAAAAAGAAAAATCAACACAGCACACAACACTACATCATATACTCATACACTAATAAAAACAAAATGAAAGAAACAAAAACTTAAGATACCTATATTTGCAGATCGTCTACCTATTTGATTTGTTCTATAATAAAGAAAAATTACGTACTTCAATTATATTTTTGATAGTACTTAGAGATTATTATAGCATCTACTAATATCATTTAAACAATATCTGTAATATAAAATTGTAATAAAGCGACGAGATACTTTGAAAGTATTATCGTCGATAAATTATTATTCTCACATATACACATTTAACTTTATTATACATCGTTCCAAATAAGATGAGTTAATTAGACACAATTTGAGATCTAATGTGTAATATATGCGTAAATATTTTTTTTATAAATACTACACTTTTTGTGTCATGTTAATGTACAATTATACCTGGTTGCTTGTTATTAGCTGGTTGGCACTGATGCTGGATGCGATGCTAGTGGTAGTGTTTGTTACACAGGCAGTAAGGGTAGACACACAAGTTGCAGCAGCACTGGACATGCAGTCACTGCTGGCTGTTACCTTGGTAGCCAAAAGGCTCTTTATTATAGAACTGGATGTAGTACTACTTCTGTTATCTTCTTTTGTTACTACTTGGACAGATTGGGAGTGCTGTTGCTGTTGTTGTTGCTGTTGCTGATTTTGGGATCCACTGGCCAACAATGCTTGACTCAGATGGGGGTGAGATACTGATACCTAATCGACAGTAGTCATATACAATTCTCACCACTTCAACCAATAAATTATTTTACGTTATATAGATTTCATTGAAAATACATGCTGAGAGAGAAAAACGAATGATGAAATCTAAATGTCTATGTAGTAGAAAACATGATGTTTGAATTACATAGAAGACATAAAATAAACACACGTATATCGTCTCGTGAAATTAATTAATATGCTTCATGTAAAAAAGCGCCATATGATTTTTTCTTTGTTTGTTCATCATTCCATTTAATAATTCCATGACATTGAAATAGTATTAAGAATAGAGAAAGAAGAAAAAAAAGATTGAAATAAAAGTCTAATATTTCAAATTTAGATAATTATCGTGTCTTTTGTAAAATGGTAAAGAAGTCGATGAGAAATTCTGCTGTCTAGTTTTTGTAGGTGTTAATAATAGCATAGCTGCTCTGCGAAATATTTTCAGTATTAATAGAGTAGAAGTTTTTTTCTTTTTTTTTTTTTTTTAGCCCCTGAGTTATAATTTATCGTTAAGAACAAAATCTACTACTATGCAACACAGTTTCTGTTTTCTAGAGCACACGCACACATACACCCATACGCACATACACGCGGACGCAATGCAAATTTCCATATTTAATATTACGGAATAAGATTTACCTATTATATATACATATATATACGAGGCGAATTTTAAATGCGTTTTAATATTTTAGATGGTAAATATTTAACGCAAATATAAACCTCTACTAAAATATCAATACGCTATTAAAAATCATCCTATATGTTAATCATAGTAATGGAACATAATTTTGCATTGTTTAAAAAAAAAAAAAAAAGCATGCAATATACATAAATTGTACCATAATTAGGAAGGAATTCTAGCGCATGTTAAAAGAAGCCCACACGTATATAGCGTCATGAGAAACTACGACCAAAATGAGAACCAAGGTCATGAACGAATGGCATACAGATCTAGGACTTGGACCCACCTGACTTTTAGAATCAACCTTGGTGACTGGATTTTGGGATTGATTTGACGTACTGGAAGGTGGTTTTGGTGGGGCAGACAACTGGGCTTTTAGAATGGGGGATGCAGGGGCTGGAGTTCTGTGAACTCCTGATGCAGGATTTTCTAGGGCCGTGCTATCGGGAGCAGGACTTATATTCTTGAGTGTACGCTGTTGTACGGGAAGCACCTTTACTGGAGTTGCGTTGACAGCTGGTATCGGGGTTGTATTAGTTGCAATAACTGTTTGGCTCGGATAAATTATTTGGCCTGGTGTGGCCCGTACGCGGATTCCTTCGTAATACTGTGTACCCGTTGATTCTCCTTTCAGTGGATTCGGACCAACGGTTCCTCCAAACACTGACCTACATTTATACAATTTCCAAATGTAAGAACATTTCATTTAAAAGATCCTTTAAATATATTATAATCCTATTCATTCAAATTAAAATATATACCTAACGCATCTAGGAAAATGAAGTGGCGCGATTACTCCTCTCCTGCCAATCTTCGTACAACACCCAAGATATTTTTTATACAATTCCTCTTGTTCGATACGAATCCCTGGTGCTAGTTCAAAGGTAACTCTTAACCATCCTAAAGCGAATTGTTCGTTTTCCTGAATGATTTGCTGATGCGCGTGTTGTTGTTGTAACGCAGTGGCTGTATCTACCGCTTCTAAATAGAGAGAAACAAAATGGAAAGGAAAAAAGGAAAAAGAAATAAAGGAAAAGAAGAAGAAAAGAGTGAAATTCAAGATAAAATATAATGAACAACATTGCGATCATGGAATATACATATTCGTACATACTGTGCGTTGTAGACTTGCTTGTAGTCGCAGGTGTAGTAGGTCTGGAAGGTGCCGGACTGACCGGAGCTGAGGTTGCGGTAATCGTAGCTGGGGTAGCTGGCACAGGTGATGACGTTACTGATGCAACCGGAGTAGTTGCAGCAGTAGCAACGGGAGTATTCTGAGATGTATTTGATGGCGTGGGTATGGTAGATACCGTTTCTACCACTCTCATCAAAATACAAGCTTTTGGACCATAGCTCTGTGCTTCTACAGTGACAAGTGCAACCAATGTGTCGATAGCTCCGCGTACCCGCGCGACGCTCGTGCACGGTCTTTCACCCAACGAAGTTAACGCATATAAACATTCCAAAGTATAAACTAAAAGAGCTATATCGCTTAGAGCTAAAAACCTAAAAAGCAAAATGTCAAAACAATATATTAAATCACACCCTGTTGTGATTCTCAACAACAATAAGGAAGGAGATTATTAATGAATTAAACGAATGTACCTGCAAATAAGTTCATACACGCCATCTTCTAAACCGAACGTAACGATTTCTTCATTGCTATCCTGTTGACTGATCTTATTAAGCACCTCCAAACAGGATATAACGATAAATCTGTCTTGCGACTCGATACCCTTAGCAACGCAAGATAGGACAACGTCCGTTATCCTCTCCCCAGCTTCCTTTAATACAATTTCGTTTGCTATATTCCCTAATATGTCGAAACCGAGTTGATGCAAGTTACTCCACCTCGCTCTTATACACAACAATACGAATCTCAAGAAACATCGATTCCTGCTTAGCACCGCTGCATTTTCCGGAGTAAAACTGAGATTTCGTAAGATAGACGCTATCTGTAACACGCGTTGACCATAAGGATCTTGCGTGCCTAACGTTCTACCAACGCAGAACAAGTCTTTATCCTCTTCCTCGAATTTTATCGAATTTTGATTTTGATCTTTGCAATTCTCATCCAAATGAGAACCAATAGGATCTAGACGAGAACAGTCTGGAAGCACCTGAAATTTTTTAACGAACGAATATTATATTTAATTCATTGCTGCTGTTAATGAAAATAATTATTATTATCATCCACATCCTATACACAAGTAGAAATTGCTGATGCACGATATAAATTCTTAAGTTTCGTGATACATGTTGCAATGTGTATATGCAGTAGTTTGGAATCAACTGTGTAAAAGTAATTGAAAAAAATCGGTCAACTTGATTCTCCCGTTGGGAGATTAATTTACAATGTTAAGACAAACTGAAACCAATGCAGGTTTCAATTTGCACGGTTGCATGAAACCATTGCATATTGCAACATGTTCCAATATAAGAAGGGACTTTCTGTTATTGATAAATAATTAAAGAAGAAAAAATATTGATTGGTTTACCCCATCAACGTCCATCGACGTGACGGTTTCCTCATTAGTATCTTGGACCGTTGCTGTCGCTGCTTTATTCTGCTTTTCCTTTTCCAATGTTTTCCGCCTGGAGAACGTGTTCAAGCTCGTTGATGGCTTCTTCATAAAGGTTTTCTCGTTGGTAAGATCTATCACGTCTTGCGAATCGAGTACGTCAGACCAAAACGAATTGATAGAATAGTTCCTCACGCGAGAATAAACCTCGATGAAAAGTTGGCGCGTACCAGGCGAGTCAAAAACTCCGGCATGAGCTAACAGGATGTTCACCAAACGTGGATACTTGTCTAGACGTAACGTGTGCTTCCCTTCATTAGACAAAAGCGTGCAAACGTTTATCGCAAAATCTTGTTCGTTTGGAAGTGGCGAAAGCAAGGACAATGCCAGTTTATCGTAATTTGTTGGCTTGTACAAGTCGGACGATAGACCATTGTAATCGCGAAGAGATTCTGAAAACAAACCACAAAAAACACATATGTTATATTAAACATTATATTTCTTTAATATATATATATATATATATATATATATAAACTAATTTTGTATTACCAACTTATTTGATAGCATAAGTTTAAATACAAGTAATTGTGATCTATAACACCGCAAGTTTACCTTGGATATTAATTTAAAAAGATACACCAAGGTCCCCCATTAAGAGAGTTCAATAAAAAAATAAATAGATATCAAATGTAATAGGTCAAAGTTAATTGCATGTATCCTAAAAACAATGTCAAGTAAGATTTTACTAATGGTAAAATATAAATAACGTTTGTTTTACCGTTTAGAAAAAATGTATAAACGTTGAATGATTATTATTTAAAGGATAGAAATAGTCTTTGTCTTTATCGGTTAAGTGAAATTTTCTAAAGAGAAAAAAAGAAAAAGAAAGAGAGAGAGAGAAAGAGCTTAGAACACGGTTCTCGTAAATATAAAACATGCTTTACGGTATCGCATCTAGATACCCTGTGTGTCGAGGAGAGGTCGCGTTCAATAACCGCAATCGCTTCACGTGCAATGCCTATCAACCACGATCGTTACGCTCGAACTCTCCTACTATCTTGTCCACCAGCTGCCATTAAATATGGTAGCATAGTAAAGGTATCATTATACATCGAGTCTCATAAAGAGACAGAGCAGTTTCAAACGCCTTCATCGCCGACCCCATAACGATTGTTCTTTTGTTACCAGAATTTCGAATGTTCTCTTCATCTATCTATCTATCTATCTAATTGTAACAGTTGGATATCTTCATTTTCGAATGAATGAAGGGGGAATAAAAAAAGGAAGAATTAACGATGATCGGTACGATTATAATAAATCGAAACAAGTTAGTGAATTAAATTTGAACGATTTAAAACTTGGGCAAATTGCCAAAATATTTTTGGTATGAAAAGGTTTGAAGAGATTACCGGAAGACGCGGGAGAGATTACGGAGTACTCTAACTCTTTTGCTGTGTATCTTATTCTTTTTTTTTTTTTTTCAAATACTTCAACAAAAATAGATTCAAAATTCGGAGAAAAATAAATATAGGAATGGGATCATTTCTTATTAGAGTTGTTCTGTATGTATCTTTGATCTATCATCGGTTATTGGACATCAAATTGAATTCTGAACGAATAGATTAAAAATAAAAAAATCATTTCCTTGCGTTAAAAGAAGATTTTGAATCGCAGATAAATAAATAAGAGGAAGATGTTATATATTAGATTTCAATATAATCCCTAAAACTATGTTGGGTTGAATAATTGGAGCTCATAGGGTGGGCGCTCAGTGATTTAAAGAGCGTCTGGGGTCGGTGCATCGAGTGTGTGTAGTGCCATCAAGAAGATGCATAGAATGCGTCATCGATTGGTTTTGGTTGGTGTGTCGTGGATGATGTCGGCGGTTTGCGTTAGACGTCACGCAGTTGAGAGGGGGCTGAGAGGACGACGTCACCACGCACCGGGATTTTGCTTTTTACACGTCGCACGCGGGCCAGAAGAAGAACCCCGCCGATGCGACAATCGCGCACAAGGAAGGCCACTACTTCGCACGCGCTCGCTGAACTGGTGGGATCAAAATTGAGAATCCAACCGGAATCACGCAAGCGCGTCGTTGATTCTCTGCCATCGCGCAGGGAGAATGTCAAGAACTGCTGTTTCTGCTGCTGCTGTTCTGTTTAGCTCCTGTTCAGTTCTGTTCAGCTTTCTGTTCAGCTTCTGTTCAGCTATGTTCAGCTATGTGTTCAGCTCTCTGCTCCGTTCATTCCTATCTCCCGCAAACGTTTATTGATTGCTTTCTCTTGTTCTATTCCCCCAACCCAGCCAACCAACCAACCAACCAACCTACACTCCCAACTCCCACCCCCATCCAACCTCTTGCTCCTTTTGCTGCCACAAACTTCAGCTCCTCCGCGAACTTCCATTCGCATACTGCGCATTATCTCTTCCTCTCATTCCACCACCACTTGACACCACCACCACCACTACCATCATCATCAACCAGAGACAGATACAATCCTCTTAATTATTTTCTCATAAGATAGAAACAAAATATGAATCATTATTTTACAGATGGATTTTAATTAATCCCATATCATCATCCCCGATTATTTCTTCCTTTTATGAAATTATCTATTGCACCTATTTTGTTTTTGTTCAAAGATGTTGAGGGAGATTCGTATAAATCTTTCCTAAACAAATATTAATCGATGCAAATACATTTTGATCGGTTCCTTTATAAAAGTAAGTATATTAAAAATGATAAAAGAAGTTGTGTGGTGGTTGGACGGACATTTGACTAGCTCGAGGGCAGAATTTTTCTCTAACGAGTTTACAGAACCCAGAGAGGAGGAAGAACCGTCCCCTTTCCTCTGCAGATCATTCGTCTCTGCGGTTTGCGCTTGCGGAGATGAAAGGAAGGTGACGAAGCGAGGTGACAAAGAGCTGGTGAGAAGAGAAAGAGAGAGAAGAGAAAATCGAGGGGGGGTTTTCACCCGTTTCTCTCTCTTTCTCTCTTTCTTCCTCTATTTCTTTCTCTCTCTCTTTTCTATACACGAAGAAGAATTATTGTCGACAAACGCGCGTGCGCCGCAAATATAGACCCGACGTGTTTCTGCCCATCAAAGCTCAGATACAGCTTTGTGTATGTCCATAACTTTGCACACATACACGTATACATACACGCGCGCACACCTATAAATATAAGAGAATGAGAGAAAGAGAGAGAAAGAAAACCATGATTATTGCTCATTAAATTATCTCTTCCACGTGCCGTATATGCGTCAGATATTTTATACATATATACTTCTACACAAACACACGCATAAACATTCTAAACTACGTGAACTTTCTTACTTCTCCCTTTTTTTTTTTCTTATTATTGGGCTTACTTCATTACAACATCGTGATCTCAGTTTACAGAAAAATAGCGTATTATTTTGTTTGTTTGTTTGTACAGCTAACCAACATTTTTCCTGTTGTTTTAACCCGACTCCTTAAGGGTTGCGTAACTTTATAGGAAGATTATGTCACAATTATTATTGCATTCGTTAGAGGCTCAAGTTTTTAATTTAGAAAATATGTTGCATAGTGTTTCTTCTTCTCCCCCTTGTTACGAACACACAGTAATTCTACGATTTCCAAGAAACCAACGTCGGTAGTCGGTGTAACGCGTTAATTTTCTTTACGCGTATTCTTTTTCTTTCATCTTCTTTTTTTTTTTTCTCTTCTCATTTCTTTATCCGCTTCGTTCTGCCCATCTGTTTCCCTCGAGCGTACACCGCAAGCAAAGAGAGAAAAAGAAAGAGACAAGTTCACTCGTTTCTCTGCATGTGTACAGAATTCTTTATACGTGTGTATGTGTATATTCATATATGTATATATATGTGTTGAAAGTCGACAGCAATTCTCCATGAGAAAGAGAGAGAGAGAACACGTCAATAACCCGTTGCTGCTTCGTCACGATAGATATCATACATTTATGTAGCGTCTGTTATGTATCGACGTGTGTTGTATTGTATATATACGTGAGATACGTGCAAACGTATGTATATATATATGTATAAATCCTTTTCACAATGTATTCTCGACGGGCGTTCACCTGTTTTTCTCTCTCTTTCGGTGACACCTTTTAAATCATTCCTTTTTTTTGCACCTTTGTGTCCTCATTCGCGAAAACGATAACTGTTTTAATAATAACGGCTAGACAGGAACAAAGAAATATTATTACGTGAGTAATGGAAAATAAAGAATCTTCTTTCTTCCTTTTTATTTTTTTTCATTTACCTTTCAAATTAAAATGTAAAACATTTCTCATTCTGTTAGAGTATCAGTCTGTGGAATAATAATGGCATGATGATGACGATGATGATGATGCGTGTTGTTTTTCCTTTCTCGAATTTTTTCTATTTTTTTTTTTTTTTTACTTCTACGTGATTAAAATCTAATAAACGTTAATATAAAGTTAATTATTCAAATGTGACGCGAGAGAGTTTCTCGTGATACTCTCTGTTGTTTCATACACGTTTAATTCACTTATTATAATTAAAATTTAATCATATTTGTTTGCAACGTGTGTATAAATTAAACGGTAGAATTAATTTTACCTGCAACATTATGTTGATGATGATTATATGTAAGAGGAACCGAATGTAATGCTCTGGCAGACCACTTCCTGTGTCTGGAATCCTCATCTTCGTCGTCCGCTTGTTGTCCATCTTCTCCTAAGAAGTGTACCTTCTCGTACCTATCCAGATACCTGAAAGAAACACAAATTAGTATCATGTTAAATACATATATGTATATCATTATTGGTATTACAAATTAAATTTGTGATGATAAACTGAAAAGAGAAGATCGATCGACTGAGGAATGATGAATCCAAATGTTTTAAGGTATCTGAGATCTAATTGAAGATGCTAATGAATAACAATAACAACAGGATCAGTAAGAGATGAAGTCAACCAACAACTAGTGAAGTGGAGTGTGGAGTATCGGTGAGAAAGAGAGTGAGAAAGAAGATGGGGTGGAAGAGGAGGAGGAGGATGAGGAGGAGGAGAGGAAGGAGAGAGAGGGACACGATATCGTGGGTGGGCAAAAGAAAGTGGTGGGGGATAGGTGTAGTGAATTCATTCATGCACCAACGTAGTAGTAGAGTACGGAAGGTGCACACAGGCGGTGGAGCCAGCCAACCAGAGCCTGATTGGCGGTTGGTGGGTGCAGGCCGAGCACGGACACTTTGACTACTGTGCTGGCATGCTCAGTATCCCTCCGAACTTCAATAGTACTACTACATATTCCCTAACTAGTGATCATTCAAATTACCCTAGATGTTAAATTAATGAAGATTTTTATCTAACCAATGGTTAACATTGATATCATCAGGGTGTATAAATCAAATGAAATCATCAATCCACATCATCCATCAGCAATAATATGTAATGAACATGAGAACTTAGTGAAATAAAATGAAGTTTAATCGGACACTGACACACATACGTAACTAACTAACTAAGTAAGTAAGTAAGTAGGCTTTAGAAAGTCTGTTATCAGGAATACAAATAACGGATACACGTTTGGAATGAATCAATGTGAGTGCCGATTATCAGTTAGAGGAAGCAGAACGTCCTCGAGGAGTTCGTTAGGCGAGTTAGTTGGCTAGCTAGCAAACTAGCTAGTTGACTGGCTGGTTGGTTGGTTGGTGAGAGACAACAAGGTTGTTGCAGGGCTCGATTGGAGTGAGAGGACACTGACTGAGAAAGCAAGCACGTGGCGCGTCGGTGAGGCCGGGCACTGACTGAATGAATGAATGAACGTGTACGTACGATACGATACGGAAAATGGTGGTGGTGGTGGGGCGGAGGACCAACGCCGATACTACTCGGTGGTGGTAGCGCAGCATTTTGCTGCTACCTCTGCTCTTGCAGACGCTCGCGGGCTGTCAGAGGAAGTAGAACCCGCTTTCCATTCGAGGGCGCGCGCCTAACGCAACCTAGAATTCTGTTTCTAGTACTATACCGTACCCCCTATACAATATTGACACACTAGAATTGAACAATAAGTTTGATATTTCTCTGATGGGATAAGTATATCTTCTTGTTATATATACATATATTTTTAATTAATTTATCTAATATTCAAAATTCGACTAATTGTAAAGATAATTGGTTGTAATAACAAGAAAATACCATATACTCGTCGTTATTATTTTTACTAATTTTATGTGATACCAGAATGGGGGGTAGAACTGGGTAATTAATATCAAGTCGAGTCATTTATTTTTTTCTTTCAAATAACAACAATTATATTCAGTTTTTTTTCCGAAGAAAATGATGAACGTGTCTATCTACTGTATTTTATAATCTATTATACTTAAAACAACACACAAGTATAGCAAATATAACGTGTAGACAATATTCCCTGAATATCGTGTGTCCTAGTAATAATATCGTATGATTTATTTTGATGTAATATTTCTACTTGGTTAAACAAATTAACTTAAGTTGAATCGATCGATCTTCTCAACGAGTTTATTCGTTTAATTTTCGTATAATTTCGTCATAACAATTTCTCACTTTCCACGTGAGTGTTCTATTTAACTGGCCAACGCCACTTACCGAAGGTATATTTGTTTAAGGCCGATTCCGCTGTTGACGCAGCCGTTCGGCAGATGAAATTGTTCGCACAACGAGGCCCACTCGTTCCTTGTATTCACCTGCAATGACAAAAATTACGCAAAAAAACAATTAACTTTTTTTTATTCTTTAATATCGATTAAACGATAGAAAGATTTTTGTATAGGTTAAAAAATTTGTCATATATTTCGTAAGAGAAACTTTTTTTTCTGTAGGTAAGATTATTAAATGATATTGAAGAATAATTGAATGGTATAATAATAATCATATAACATGTGATCGGTGTGTGTTAAAAATTTACGCAATAATTATCAGATCGATACAACCTAGCTGAAGAATTATTCTTCCTGTTGCAAGTTATAACTTCGTTGTAATAAAGATTTGTTTGTTGTAGAATATATAAATAAAATGAATACAAGTGTTCGCGGAGTAATGAGAAACGAACGACCTTGTGGAATGCAACAACCGAGTTGTAATGCAAGCATTAAAACAAAAAAAGAAAATAAAATAAAAAGATACTTCATAAAGACTGCGAACATCATACTGCTTGACTAAATAATTCGTTAATAACTAACTTCGCATAAAATTGTTAGGCGTCGTCATTAAGAGATGGTAATGTTGGAAGAAAAAAAAGTTAAGTCGAGATATTAATGAAAAAAAAAGTTCTCCGTAATACTGTGTAATAATTCAAATAATTATACAAAGTGGAATTGGAGAGAAAAAGAAAAAGAGGAAAACTCTTTCAGTCGAAAAGAAGTTTGAAAAAACTCTTTCTGTCGTTTGAAAAATTATAATTACTTTTATTTTTAATATAAAAAATGATTGCAACCAACGTTGCATGGTGACGAAAAAGAAGAAAAAACGAACGTTCACGAATTGCAACAAATAAAATAAAGTAAAATAAAACAACAACAAAAAATGCAAATCAAATGAGAACAATGAGAAATTTGGAACGAGTCAAAAGTGCATACATACATACATACATTTTTTTATATATATATATATATTAGGATTTAATAGGTTTCATAAAAGTTTGTATGTTGTGTTGTCATCAAGATGACCACGCCTACGACACGTGAGAGCGCCAAAAAGTTGAGTGATGAGGGGGAGAGGGGTATCAAGGGAACTGAAAAAAATTCGGAAAGGCCCTTGGCAAAATATATCAAAGTAGGATTGGTGGGTTAGGGGTGTGGTGGGGGTACGTGGATATTGGGTCAGTGATCTCTCTCTCTCTCTTTCTTTCTTTCTCTGGATTTGCGCCCATGCTTTTGCCAGTTATTCTCGTCACTTCGCGTATGTGAACCCCCGAAGAGAAGAAAAGAGAAAATAAGAGAAGTGGAACCCAATACAACAAGTCTAACAAGACCGAGAAAGTGGCGCCCCGTTGTGGACGACCTCGCGATAAGGAATAAGATGATGCATCATCAAACCTGACCGATGAATCCTCTTTTACCCGCTATCCCCGTAGTCGTGTTAAAAGAGTCGCGTGTTCAGGAAAGTTGGTCAGAGAATAATGAAGAAAACAACTACTACTACAAAAGCACATTGCTAGCTAGCTGCAAGTCTCTCTTTCTCAATTTTTTGTTTCCCCTTCCCAGAGAGAGAGAAAGAGATTGATATCTCGAATGCATTATTACTGTCTTCCCCCTTTTACCATCCTTCGAATAATAATCCTAAAGAAATAAGTTCGGAATAAAACGATCTTCCTCTGCATATATACACATAGTTACTTCTATCATAAATCCACTCATACTAAGAATATATGGCATAATTTGTATAATAGATATTCAATTATTATGGGTATAATTATTTGATTTTAGTATTTTTGACAAACCCCGATGTAAACTGAACACTATCAGTCAATCAAATGTCATTTGCAATTAAACGCGTGGAAACAATGTTTCTTGATTGACGAAAATTCATTTAATGAAAGGGATAGGGGGTGGGGAACTGTAACACCAAGATTTCATTCTGCTAATATATTCCTCCCTCTTTTTCATTTAATTAAAATCGATTACATGTTGATTTAGGGTAAATGGGATTGTTAATTGAACATAAAACAATGTGTCACTTGATTGATCAAAATTCAATGAACTGTAACCACCAACCAATATCAATTTAAACTGAAATCAAATTCGATAATTACCACACAAAATTACATTTATTCTATATTCTTTATTACATTTACCTGAGATTATATGTTAACTTATTAATTGTATTATCTTATTGAATTGGTGGTACATGCTCAACCAAACTTTGATTGGAAGCAAACACAATTCCTCTCTATCTATGCAAGTGGCAAGATACCAAAAAATGCATCGTACAAATGCATCAAACTAACAGATATACGCGCGTTAGGATATCCCTGCCTGCTTGCCTGCCTGGCCTCGGTTGGTTCTGCTCGTAATCGTGCAACTTTGCTTGACCTTGGTAATGCCAAAGAACGATGCGCATGCGCCTGAATGTTCTTTGAGAGAGCGTTGAACGACGTATCCACGTGTTTGGTTCGGAGGACCGCGCAATGAAAGTGTCTTTGGCGCCATGTGCTCGTTGGGGTAGGATATGGTCTCTCTTTACCTCCTCCTGACCCCTCTAACCCCCTCTCTCTTTCTCTTTCTCTCCCCCCTCTACCCAATTCCACACACCCTCCTTCCTACCCCTTCTCCTTCCACCCCGTTCTCTTCTCTTCTCTTTCTTTCACTCCTTCCTCTTCTTCTTCTTCTTCTTCTTGTCTATGCATTTTAGATACATTCGTGTTGCATCTCTGCTGCTGCATGTGCATAAACATCTCTACTTGTTTTCTTTTTTTTTTATTATAATAATAATAATAATGATGATGATAATAATGAAATTCTTAGTAAGATAAGCTAGCTGTCCAATGAAAATTCTTTTTTTTTATTGCTATGCTATTAAGAACGATTATTATACCTGGGTGTATGTTTTCAAAATGGTTCTTCTATCTTCTCTTCTTTTCTCTTATGGATAAGAAGAGTAAGGTTTTATAGATAACGCGAATCAATAAAACGGAGGAGGAAAAAAATAAATTGCGAGATAAGTTTATGATAATACGTAGTATAGATAATGATAATAATTATTATTATTATTATAATTATTCTTTTCTTTATATATATATATATTTATTCAAGAGATGAGATATATGTATTGGTGTCATGCGAGTCAAACAAAGTATCAGATCAGAAAAATACTGATGGGTTTGTTTTTTTCTCTCCCCCCTCTTCCCTCACCTACCCCTCAAAACTGGCAAAAACATTGAACGTAATTGAATTGCAAATTGGAATATAATACCGCGTTTTATATATTATTTTAAATGAATTTATTAGAATATATATTTGTCGAAACATAAAAATTACAATTTTTATGATTTTTATGATTCGTATCTAAGTTATTGTTTTGTTTTTAATTTGAAATAATGATTATACGATATCAATATTTAAAACGTCGATTGGTTGGATTGATGTTGCCGTGTTGTTTGCAAGCAAATTTGAATCGTTGAAAAATATCTTCGAGGAATAATTTAACGTTCAAGATCTAAACACGCCAACTCTCTCTCTCTCTCTCTCTCTTTCGTGAATAATCTTTACCATCAATTTAGAATACTAAAAGTAGGAATATAATTAGCGTCAATGTGTTTTGCGTATACGTGTGTATGTACGCGCGTTTATACGTTCCCGAATGACTAGAATAAAATTTAATACTTGTTAACGCTTACGCGAGTCTAGGAAAATAGATCGACGTATTTATGATTCACCCAGGTTATTACAAATTCTTCGTGTGTGCGGGCGGGGTG